AAAAACTGTCAACCTCTAAAATTCAAAAGTTTCTTTCAACTGCTAAAAAACAAAAAAAATAGTAATAATAATAATGAAATAAAAAGATATATATGAAGTAAGGAAACACATCAATAGTCCGATTTAATGGCTCCTTCAGCAACTTCGACGTCGATATTATTATTATTATTATTATTATTATTATTAAGAAGATATAACGAAGAGACAAAATTCTCTGTTACTCCGAGTTTTTTGTCTCTTCGTTATATCTTCTTATTCAAAGCTCTACACTTAAATAGTGTATTGAGCACTGTTTAACGGCTTTAGCCACTTTATTACACGTATTATTATTATTATTATTATTATTATTTATTTATTCACTTCTGTCCAAAATTTTTAGGCCACAGTGAAAACTATTTGGTCACCAGTAACTGTAACACCCCTTGTAAAGTCTAGTTTTCTATAAAGTAGTAGACCACACAGCAACATTAAGGAGCTGATTGAAGGAAATGAGATGAATTTCTGGAAAACCAAGCTCTTAGCTCTAATATAAAGAAAAAAAATTATCCTATAATGAGTATTTTTCATTAAAAATGTCAAAACAATATTGTAGTTGAATGTATTAGAGAATCTTCTGCTCTTAATTAGGCATATTAGAATTTCATGGACTAAAAAGGTACTCAATAAACCACTTTGACAAAAAACTGATAAATTCCATACCTCTTGACAAAAACTGTCCAGACAATGAGAAATAGTAGCAAGAAAATGATCAAATAGATCCTGCACACACTTCCGTCCAAGGTCACAAATATCAATTAGTTGACAAACTATTAAAATATAAAAACATAGAGTTTAAAAATTAATACTGCATTTGATGTTCACACAAAAAAACTTTACACTGACATGACACACTTAAGATAAGCATTAACTTTACAATGGTTATAGGCAATATTTATTCTCTACCCTTACTTGCTTCGATACTGCTGACATGTTCACTCATCTGTAAAGACAGAAGCTGTCTGATATTCCTTTTCATCTCATATTCTGTATGAGAGGGCTTGAAATTACTAATGGCAATAAATATCTGCAAATGAAAAGAATAAAAATTGTTACCCATTTGTAACAATTTGTGATATCATAAGTAAATCAGCACAAATTAGGACAATTTTGCTGTGAATTTTTTGTGTCATATAGATTTGTGAATTATTTTGATTATCTCCATTAGCCTGTGTCAGCTAGAACAGTTAAGTTAGTGTGAATACTGTGTGTTAGAAGATGATAGTAGACTATGAAGATCTTAATGGCTCATCAACACTCAAGCAGAAAAATTGTTTTAACTTATGTATTAGGTCATTTTTCCAATGCATTAACCACTAATGACAAAACTATAAATCGTTTACCACTGCTGAGTAGCTAAAAACTTTGTTTTCGCCAACCAAAGTACATAGTAATTCTGGTTCTGTGGAATGGTAGACTTGTCATAACAGAGGATCTTCCTTCTGTAATTTGTCACTTTTACAAAGTCATTCACCTTGCTTGCCCCCAAAAACTTGTATAAGCATTGTACTCAATTTAATTGTCTTTTGATGACTGTAAAACCCACTGGCAGGAGAAATTAGGAACAATCATTAGGCAAATGAATTGTATCATGAATGATACACAAGTGGTGCATAGCATGTCTCTCTACTACTTGGCTTATTGTTGTCACTTTGCAGTTCAAGATCATGTGAAAAAAGAAAGAAAACATCAAAGACCAGGATAATATGAAGATCGAAATCACTTTACCTTTCTAACTTTTTGGCACAGCTTGAGATTTCTCAAGGAGCCAAGGTAGATTGTGCACCAAATACTGATGACAGTTTGCAGGTCATCTTCATTTAATAAGGCTGCAAAGTCACCATTCTTTAAAATATATGTCCTCAGTGCATCAAGGATTGATAACTTCTGCTTTAGAGAATTCTCCCTAATAAACACAACAAGATCACGATAAAATCTGATTCAATCTCAGATGTCTGGAACATTCAGTAAAGGCAACTACAATAACCATAATTTATAACCAGATTCCTTACTGTTGAGACACAAACCAGAATAAATGCAGACTATCTTATAATTAGCATCAAAACATTTCTTCTTTGGGAGGGGTTCTTCACAGTTAAATTTAACATTAGGGTAAGGCATTTGAACACTTTTTTGCCACTGGTGTAGGGAGTAACCTCTTGACAACGAACAGTTTTATTAGTATGGCACCTTGATGATTGACCGCGGCAATCGTATTTTAATTTTGTTTCATTTATACTGCTACGGAAAGTAAAGTGAATGTTGCCAACCTTTCTTGTTTTTTTATGTTACCATTTTGATTGAAAACATAATACAAGTTTTTTGTAGACACAAACCAGAATAAATGCAGACTATCTTATAATTAGCATCAAAACATTTCTTCTTTGGGAGGGGTTCTTCACAGTTAAATTTAACATTAGGGTAAGGCATTTGAACACTTTTTTTGCCACTGGTGTAGGGAGTAACCTCTTGACAACGAACAGTTTTATTAGTATGGCACCTTGATGATTGACTGCGGCAATCGTATTTTAATTTTGTTTCATTTATACTGCTACGGAAAGTAAAGTGAATGTTGCCAACCTTTCTTGTTTTTTTATGTTACCATTTTGATTGAAAACATAATACAAGTTTTTTGTGAATTTTATCTATGGAAGACAGTAAGTATGAACTTAGCACAATAAACATGTTTTACACTCCCCCCCCTATCCCCGCCCCCAAAAAAATTATTGTCATATTATGCCCCTACCTCCCCATAACAGCCACCTCTCTACAACAGCCACTTTCTTCTGTCTCCAAGGTGGCCATTGTGGAGAGGTTTGACTGTACATAAATTTGGGTTCAAAACACTGTTAACACTCTTTAAACCCCAGCTGTCTTCACTTTTTGAGCTTCAGGTTTTTGTACTATACAACACATTCAAATATAACATCATATTTAGAGGTAAAGTACCGGTAACCCCCCACCCCCGCCCCGCACCCACTTAAGTTTCTCTATATTAAAACCCTCACTATATTATAGAAATTATAGCCCACTACCTTGCACCTCCACAACCACATAGGTCGGAGGTCTGAGTATCCAACAAAAAAAGGAACTTCCGAAGTTCAAAAAAGTGCTTTCTCAAGCGACTGCGGACGAATCGAAAGTCATAAGATTATAACTGCACGTACGGTAGGCGAAAACTCACTGTAAATACTCCTCGGTCTTCAGAAATATCTCAAGCCATCTATGACGGTCAGAACCTCTGAAAGTCCTTATAAGATTTTGCACCTCTTGGATACAGGACTGTTCATCTACCATTGTTCTAACGACACTCAAATTTACGAGGAAAACAAAACTTTTCCTATCTCCGCACGTTCTCAATGTTCGTCCGCCATTGTTTCACATCGAAACGAGGTAGAGAACACGACTCGTGCCAGTCCCCCAAAAAAAGAAAGCGGAGAGCTGCTCATCAAAAATATTTTTATTTCCTTCTCAACTTTTCTGTCTATAAAAATGCATATCATTCTTTTTATTTACTTATTCAAATTATAGCTCAGATATGAACATTACCTCTGGATGAAACTCAAACATGGAAACTGAAAATTAAAAAAGGAATAAACATTGATAATCCGTGCAGAGAAAACATTGATGCAGGCTTTCTTCGATGTACTTCATCATTCATAGTCTTTCATTCTATCGCAAAAAGGGGTCAAAAACCGGGTTTTTCTATTTACACACTAAAATCGCTCGCACACGCGACACAAGCAAAAACATATCGCGCATAAAAAAAATGACGTCATAGTGTGGTGATATAAATAGCAAGAAAACTGGGAAGACCGCGGTTTCTTACTATCCGACTGTAGCCTGGATCTAGTTAACTACAAAAATCTGTTGCAACTGTTAAGAAGCACTTTCCGAGAAATTTGTATGTTTCCCTTCTAAAAGGCATTTTATGAGGTAAATGCGCCTGAATGATCATTATTTTGAATGGGTGCATTTCTAGAAAAACCAAAGACTGAAAAAGATACAAAGTCTGCGTCGGGAAATGGACTTCGCTATGGAGTGGCGTCCATGCAAGGCTGGCGTATTGAAATGGAAGATGCTCACACGGATATCACTGCCTTGAATCAGGAGCTTCACGAATGGTCATTTTTTGGCATTTTTGACGGCCATGCAGGGTCTAATGCGAGTTTGTATTGTGCGGAGAATCTTTTAAAATGTGTTTTATCTAGCGACGACTTTAAAGCAGCCATCAAAAGTGGGCCATCATCGCCCGATTTGGAGCAGCTCAAAATTGGAATTAAGATGGGATTTTTTGAGCTGGACAAAACGATGAGAGAATGCCCGACCTGGTCAAACGGAGACGACAAAAGTGGCACGACAGCCGTTACCACTATGATTACTCCTGAACATTTTATCTTTGCCAACTGTGGGGACTCTAGAGCCATTTTATGCAGTGATAAGAAAGTGACTTTCAGCACAGTGGATCACAAACCGTCTAACCCAGACGAGAAACTTCGTATCGAAAAGGCTGGAGGTAGTGTTATGATTCAGAGGGTTAACGGTTCTTTGGCAGTTTCTAGGGCTTTGGGAGATTTCGAGTACAAGATGGACTTTACTATAGATCCTTCTGAACAACTGGTTTCTCCTGAACCAGAGATTTCAGTGGTTCCAAGGAGAGATCATGAGGATGAGTTTATTGTTATCGGCTGCGATGGTATCTGGGATGTGATGAGCAATGAAGAAGTGGCAGACTACATTCGGTCAAGAATGCTACTCTCTGACGATTTAGTACGGATTTGTAGCGACCTTCTCGATACCTGTTTAGCAAAGGTAAGTATAATGACGTTAATAAACTGTTGTTAATCTTGCGAGTCTTTCCGACTAATTTTCCATCGATTTCAAAGTGTATGTACGGTTAATTTTGTACGGATAATCTGGAACAAACTAAGTTAAGCTCATTGACCAAGTGTTATTTTCATTTAATAAATTGTTATTTCAGCGTCATTAGTAAGGTCAAATACCACTTATGGAAATGTACGTGTATATTTCCTGCCAGAAAGGTTATATTGCATTTTGAAGAAGACGCACTTTACATTGTAGAGTTTGCTGTGTCAAATAATAAATTGTTGTCACTCAGCTGACCTTGTACACAACCTGAACGTGTACTCTATTAATTCGTATAAATACGTTTGCTGAACTGCTTTTTGAATACAAGCATTCTGGCCTTGAATTCTCTGAAATTTTTATGGTCCATAGAACATGAATGGGTATGATCTTTCATAACGTATTGTACTGACTTCCTATATCAGTGTCCTTCACTCTCTCAATCCCTTTTGTACTTGTCTTCATCCCAGGGTCTCTTCTTAATGAATCTCGTCTCTGGACTTGTGGATTCATGGTGCCAGTTGGAATTTAACTAAAAAATATCAGCACATAATAATAATAATCCATTTATATAGCGCCTTTTCTACAAGATTCAGAGGCGCTGTTTACAAAAAATTAGATAGAACTAAAAAGTAAAAATAATCACAAGAAATTGACATTAAAACTAGACGCTAACTACAAAGTAGATAAATGTACACAATAGATAAAAAATCAGATAACAAATAAAAACGTCACGATTCATAAGCTCGCATAAAAAGAAATGCACATGAATTCTTTAAGTATCAAATTTAGCAGGCAATGACTAGCAGGTCTCTCTGCAGCTTTCATTGTCTTGCTTTGTCCATTTCTAATCACTGGTTAACTCATGAGTTACTTTCACAGATCCTTGCGATAGGCAACATCACTGAAGAGGGGTTGAACATATCCGACTAGGTTTAGTAATATCAAATAAAAACCATGCAAATTTAAGCCTTGGGTGCCTGCTACTCTTCCTATCGTGCCTACTTAATTATGATATGGCTGAGTCCACAAGCCGACAAGATGAAGCAAATCGTGTGTACGGATTTTCCATGTCGGTCCTGCAAGAGACAACAACAACAACAATAATCTTTACTTTCCCAATCATTAAGGTTTACAAAAGTGTACTGACCCACAGGTAGCTAGAGCTAATCTTGGCAGGCCAGTCAATGTACATGTTTGCCTATATATAATATAATCCGGCAAGATTATGCAAAGGGGGAAAGAATTTACAGTACATAAGGGATTTACAGTAAATAAAGTTTATCGGAAAAAGCTGTTGTCAGTTCATAATCTTGTTACTGACGATTTTATCTTAAAATTAATGATCTGGTGTACGGTGTATATCAATGAATGAATCTACTTCTTTGAAAATACTCAGTAGCACACTTTGAATTCCTTTTTTGAATGAAGGTTTTGGCAGTTCTCTCAAAGAACATGGTACCTCATTTCGGAGTTTTGCACCTATTTGTGAAAAAGCGTTTTTTTGTATTTCAAGCCTTGGTCGTTTTATGCAAAAATTGTTTGAGGCAGCAGAGTGAGTGTTGTATGAGTGGATGCTGCTTTAAATCAATGAATCCTTTATTGACCAAGCTTGTTCGCTGGTCAAAATGGCTGGATATTGGCCCCATCCTTTTTTGTGTTTTAATTGAGCTCAACTTCATCTCAGTCCATAAAAACACAAAAAAACTTGGCCAACATACAGCCCACCTTGACCTCAGTCCTGGTCAATAATGCATATGTACAGGTCACATAGTTTTTAGAGTACCCTTTGCTAAGTCCCAGTCTTTCATGTAATCAAAGCTAGCCTACCAGGAGTATTTATTGCTTTATGTTTGATTTCACAGGGAAGTCGAGACAACATGAGTGTAATCTTGGTAACCTTTGGAGGGGCTCCTAAAGTGTGCGAGGAAGCTATCAAACAGGTAGTTTGGTTGACCAACATTCCATACTTACTAAGAAAAGCACCACTCTCAATGTTGACCTTCACCCTTTCCTGCATTATTTGCATTCCCCTTCTCTCCCTCTCTTTGTCCCCCACATTACAATTTGTGCTGTTTTCTATCCAGAAATTTCTTAGTGTCACATTTTAGTTCCTTTTCCCAACAATACTTCTTTTTCTCAACACATTAAATTTGGAAAAGAAAATACCTGTTTTTCTTGTTCTTTTCCAGCTATATTTCACTTGTTGTCATTAGCTACAATCAGCAACAAAATTGTTGACACATTTTACTCAAATAGGGTAACTTCAGAGAACAGAAGAATCCACACCCCTCCCCCATACTCTCTTTTCTCCATCTCTTGTGTTTTGTGCTTCACGATCATGCCACAAATCCCAACAACACTTGTTGTGCAGTCTACAAGTTATTACAGTGTCATGGTACATATTCTAGAACAATAAATTTGTAACCTTTAACCTTTAACATTATTTATAGGAAGCTGAACTTGAAGCTGACTTAGAGAAAAGAGTAGCTGGTAAGTTGAATTTGTTAACATAAAGAGTTAAAAATTTTCCAGTTAGTTTCTAATAAAAGCCATTCTAATGGGAGATCATTAAGAACAAACTTCTCACTAATTTAAACGTGAGCTACTCCCCCCTGCTCCCCGCCCCCCACAAAAAAAAACAACAACAAAATTAAAAAAGCTCACACAAGCCCTTTGAATAATCATGCAAAAAAAACCTAGGTGGAAAGATGAGGTTCAACACGTCTTGTCTTAGGAAAAATCAGTCACATCATAACTAAGGCTCATGCTAATCATAATCATCGTCATTATCCTTTGTTGTTCAAGGTGTTGAGTAGGGTTGTGTACTGCAGGGTATGAAATTTATTTCTTTTTCGGGAAGCCACTATCATAATCATTACGATTAAGGGGTGGACAATTCTGAAGAGTTTGTTTCCAGTTCTTTTTTGAAGCAATTTTAAGATATGTTTAGTTGTAGTGCACACCCCAGGTCAGCTGTCATCAAAAAGTGGCCTGTTTCAAACTAGTTTTTAATTTTTATCTGTTTAGGCTGAGACTTTGCACGATAATAGAACTTCATATTTCCAACAGGCGTATGTTTTTCGATTTTTTATTTTAACTGTTTTTGGCGGGAAAATGACGTCATAAGATCGACAGCAAAAAAGAGTTTTCAACTTATGGCATAACAAGCTAAAACTTTTAAAAGAGCTCACAGAGATGAGCTCAAAAATGTGACCCACCATGGTGGTAGAGCTGGAGATAATGGCGGAAAATTACACACATTTTGCAAAGAAGCAGAAGACAAACTTCTGCCAAAAAACATAGCAAGAACAGAAAAAATAAAATTGCTACTTGAAGAATATAAAATTATGTTAGAGTACGTCATCCCTTTATTTCCTGAAAACACAGGAACCCTCCGTCAATCAACTTATAGAGCTTGTTGTAGTTCAGCAGGGTGCGCCAAGACCTATGTCCGATTATCCGGGACTGGTAGAAATTTAGCTCGGACATGTAAATCTTTATGTTTTTAAGAAAAAGATTAAAACACTACTTTTTAGAGAGGCTTTTATTAGTTGGTTGCCACCCTTTTTTTCCTTTTATTGTATATATTTTCCTTAGTTAATCTTAGCAAGGCGTTTGCATCTTATTTTTTAGAAATTTATTTCTACAACTGTTATATATTCTCTGTAATAAGTCAAATATTTTTATTTATTTATTTTTTTTTAGAATTACGATTATTGTAAAGCACCATTGAGCTCATGGAAATGGTGCTCTATAAATTTTTATGTTATATTATATGACTTGTCCATGGGACAAGCAAATTTTTAATTAGAAAAAATAAGGAAAACATTGAAAATTTACTTCAAATTGTCATAGAATTACTTCTGTTAAGACGTAACTCATGCCCAGGCCCAAAATTCAAGTGGATAGTAGCCGACCAAAAAAATTAGACAAAAACAACAGTCTTCATCGTTAGTTTTTCTTTCAAAGCATCCGAGAAAACAAGAAGTCTTGGATGCTAGCAAAGAGTTTAAAGTGAATCAAGAGAAGATCATTTGAGCACTACCTTTTGGACAAGAACTCTTGGGTTTTGGACAACCAAATTTGATATAGTGCTTGTCGGAAGGACAAGTGGATAAAAAAATTTTTCTCTTGCTCTGAAAGTATGAATGATAAAACAGTTATTGAATTTGGCTTCCGTATGGCCTGAAGACTTATGCAGATCTCAGAGGGTGTTATCTGCCTTGAGCAGCCATTAACACCCTCTCCATTCTGCGTAATTCTTTAGATCATATTCAGTTTCATACAATAATTGCTAAATATTTTACTCTCAGTGTTCCTTGAAGAGTTATTTCCCAAACAAAACTTATATGAATACCTATCACTGCCATGGATTTATCTTTCATGGTCTTCCACTAACGTGCATTAAATGGCTACTCCAGCCTATCACAAAATTTGGCAAAGTCTGGATGAATCATCACGACTCTTCAATATTGTATTTATAGCTGTGCTTGAAGATAGCAGGGATCCTGGAGTTGTTGACCTGTATTACACCATGCACTGTCTATCAAGCGAAGACATCAAGAACTTGCCACCTGGTGGGGGACTTCCAGCTAAGTAAGAAACTTTACCTTACAACACTACATGACTTAATGAGAAAACAAAGATGTAATGATTTGGTCATACTGCATTACTGATTCTTAAGGACAAGCAGAGAGGAAAACTGGAATACCAAGTGAAACAACCTCTCAGAACAAGGAGAAGAACCAAAAACTAGCTCATATGAAATGTCATGGACTTTTGTTGTTCATCTGCCCTCAAGTACCAAAATGACAACCTTTACAAAACTCTAGAGGGAAACAAAAAAAAAGTACAATAGCACAAAGGGGGATGGCATCACCTGGGAAAAAAATTTTATGTTTGCCCAGATTACATAGAAACTTGACTAACATTAGTGTCATGTTTGTCAAGTTCATCTTAATAATATTTTTGCAAACATGTAATTTATGAATGCTTGGAAGTCATTCTTGTTATCTATGTTATCCATATAAATGTTTTAAAAAACGACATTTGCTACAGTATATCCAGATTTGAAATTACAGTAGGGTTAGTAGCGTGTATAGTATGCTGTGATTAAACACAAAAAAAGCGCCTCAAACACCATGACCTAACTTTCTTTAAAAGTGTCTTCAACTACTCACACATGAACATAAAGGAAATAGTTATCTTGTTCTTCATGAGTAATGGCTGGCTTATCATTTTACAGACAAGTTTTCATTCACAAAACTTTGGAAAAACTGATAGCTAAACAATCAGAAGAGGTGAGTGTAAATAACTTTTGTCTATGTCAGACATTTCCACTGCTTTATATGCTTGGAACTCTGAGAATGTGATTGTATCTCAGGTTCCTCACAAATAGAATTTTTATGGTATAATAATTTGTGCACAGCTAAATAATTTGTTAAGAAAATGTCATAAGCTACAAGTGAGCTCTTTAAGGGTAATTTTGAGCAAACTCAGCCCTAAAATGTGTAAACTGTTTGTGCAAACATCTGTTATTTAGTTTCAAATATAGGTGCTTTCTAGTCTATTCTTGGGAGTTTGTTATGTGATTGTCTTGTTCCAAGTCCGACTGTCCTTTTCCTTATGGATTTTGGTGATAAAAAGGTGTCAGTCAATAATATATGTCTTTTGGAGAGGTTCATTCCTCAATGCAGGGGAGTGATGCAAGAAAAAAACTACAAGCAGAGAATTACAAAATTTGGCTGTTATCCTTGCCGTAGACCCTTGCAACTTTGTATCATATTTGGAAATAGCCAACTGTTTTGCCTTCTTTCTTTCAGGATTTTAGATACTGTTTTGTTCAGTTTGGATTATAATTTGCCATGTTAGCCATTGTGCTGTTAGTGGTGTAGATAGAAATCAATCTCTTCTCACATTTTTATTAGTGTGGGTAATAGCATGGTTTGTAGTGATATTTGGCATAAATACCACGAGTGATATTTCGAAATTGTTATATGTAATTTCACGAGCCGTTAGGCGAGTGAAATTTGAGACAATTTTGAAATATCACGAGAGGTATTTATGCCAAATATCACGTACAAATCATGCTATTATTTGTTTATACTACTAACCGCAAAAGGTTTGAAATTTTCACATGTAGGTATTTCAAATTAAGCTGAAATACCACTGCTCTAAGCCAATCAAATTGCTGAAATTTCTCATGTAGTAGTATAACAGCTTAAACACTGACCAAGGATAAAAATAGAATTAATTTTTGTTTCGTTTTGTTGATAGTCCGATTGAAGGAATGCTGAAGAAGTAGCATCAAGCAATGAAGTATGTTAAGCTGACCTTGCTATTGACGATTTGTTTGTGTTTTAGTGTAGTTTCAGTAAGTTTCATCATAAATATTTGTGTATTAACTCATTTCCAGGAGTATAGTATAGTTTCAGGAGATTTGGTTGATAATCATTTAAATTATTAATGCATCAAGAAACTGAAAGTATTTTATTAGAAAAGAAACAAAACTGAATCGTGGCAGTTGACGTAATCAATTTCAAGATATCTGAGTGAAAACTTCTTATTGTGTTTTCCTCTAAAAGTGGAACGTTCGTTCTTGTTGACCTTGCACAAAGGCAGTTTTCCATAGTTTTGTCAGTTGTGACTATATGTATTGCCTTGAAATGCTTCCCGCGGAATGAGTGCGGTTAAAGTATCGCTACTAAATCTGAGTCAAACAAGGAGACAAGAATTCCACCTTTAAAGGAAAATACAAATAATTAATGTTAGCAGTGCTTGTAGTCAATGAAATTTTTCCAAATAAAAAGTGCCTTTACCTGGGAAAAATGTAATTTGTCCATTGAACATGACATATTACTAGGTACAGGCCGGTGTATCCTTACTGAGTAGTGCAACTTCTTGTGTTGTTCATCCAGTGTGATATAACGGGTTAGCCACGTTTCTTTTCTAGCTTTTCTTACATTTTTATCGAAGAAGTTTATTTTTACCTGGGAGTAACAATGTTAGAAAACTGTAGGTGTTCTTAAATTTCTGTTGTTACTTTCTTTTGTATAAGCATCTTTCCTGTCATGATAATTCTTTCAAGTGCTTGTAACTTTTTTTAAGACTATTAGCAGTCTATTTGCTGCCTTACTTTCAAACAGGGCTTAGCTAGTTGTCTCTCATATTACCTTGATAATTGCACACTGCTATTAATCAGTCTCAAACATCTTTAAAGTGGCTTTAGTTACTGAACCTTTAAGGTCGGTTTTCCCAGTAAAGCTTTATCGTATGCGATAAATCGTTGCAAGTAAATCAAACCTCCAACAATCATAAGTCAGTTGAAGTTTCATAGGTCACTTGCACTTGTAACAAAGTTGTATCGTGTAAATGGCCTTTTATAAGGACAAAAATTGGGTAGTTAATTCAACCCTGGGTTTGTCTGTTGTACGTCTTTTTACACTTCGAACAATTTAATAGTAACTAAATGTGTTAATTTGTCGAGGAAGTTGACAAATACATGGGTGGAACTGAAACCAAGAAATGAAATGACTTTCAACAAAATACTTAACTTGCTGCCCTTGGCGTCGGTTGCCAATCAAGCTCGTACACATACGGCACAATGAATGCGTATCATTTATTTCTCGCATTTCTATGAGATTTTTCTATTTCCTTCTTTCTTTTTTTGTTAAATCTCGCCTGAAACCTCAAGTGTACACGAAAGAGGCTGAGAAAAAAACACAAACAGACAAAGAGTTGGACTGAAGAAAGAAAGGAAAAGCATTTTAAAAGACGTCTGGGATTAGAGGTGTACCAATTGTTTTAACTGATAACAACATTCATTATATGGCTGGATCAGCGACGGAGCGAGTAAGATGAAGCCAATACTGTGTTCGATGGGCTTCGCGAGTGGGTAAGATCGGCCCATCTTGGTCGCTTGGTCCCGCAAGAAAAAGTTCTCTTTTTGGCCATATAATAAATCCGTTATTGACCAAGGTTATTCTCTTTTTCGGTCAATATGGTTATTTACCTCGTCTCGATCCATAAAGACGTAAAAGACCTCAACCTTGTTCAAAAACGCCGATATACATTTATAAACGTAAAGGTAAACATCCTCGTTCAGACGTAGAAACCAAACCTTGGGACGGGGGGCGGGCGTGCTGCTGTTTATAGCAAGTTACAATAGTGTGTCAAGGATCTATTATACTTCGATCAACCCGCTTTGTATATAGTGGACACAAGGGTAATGCATCTATCACAACTCTAATCGTACTAAGAAGTTGTTAAAAAAAAAGATTTGATTTCATCCATACCAAACCTCCTGCACACAGTCTCCTTGACGTGTTTGTTCAGACTGGACATGCGCAGAATCCCCTTGATTCGTCCTTGTCACGTGGCAGGTAATTAAAATCGAGCGTAGCATTTCTTTTGTTCGTTATTTAGTACCATATTTAATAATCGTGTTTCTAGTTAAATCGCAGACATTTTAGTAAACATTTCATTTTCCTCGTCGTGCAGGGATTCCTTTGCGCCGCCAGTTTGAAATAGGAGAAGGAGTTTGCTCTTATAGCAGAGGGAGTGAATAACGTAATACAAAGAATTGTCTTTTATGTGGAATTATAACGTGAAGATACACCGTGGACAGAGATAAATGAAACGACAAGGCAACAGTACACAAACAGAGTGGACACATTCTGTTTTGATGGTGTCACAACACAGGTGGCCCAAGCTGGAAATATGAGCATCGGCATTGTTGCGGTACATTCGAAATAAAAGGATTTGTATGGGGAAAAACACCTATTGTTTCTGTAACTTACGGTTTTCTCTCTAAGTACAACCCATAAAATGGCCATAAATCGGCCCATAGACCACACACGAGAGAGGTAACACACATTTGATGTAAGATAAGCTGTTTTTTATTGAAATCCTTTCATTTTCGTAGGTTAAGGAATCGATAGGTTTTTTCCCCATACAAATCCTTTTATTATTCACCAAATCAGTGAATAGCAATTTTCGCGCGTTCTGATATGCTCCCGTAACTCGGAATATCCTTGGATATTCACTGTTTTGGGACGGGACTCAAAATGGCTTCTCGTTTCGCGACAGTTGCGAGAGACAAAATTTTAGCAGTAAATGAAGCAGCTGCACCAGCAAATACCAAGAAAGAGACAAAATTTGGCTTGTCGGTGTTTACTGGTCGATAAAAAAAAATTTTCTTACTAAATTTACAACAAAATCATGAAAAATGATTCCCCGAAACACTGTCAATTGAAACGTAAACAAACGCTAACTGAGTGACGTCTTTTATTTACAAAAAGTTCGTTTTTGATTTTTATCCAACTGATTTGGTTAATAATAAAACAACTATCCCTCTCAGGGTCGGTTCATAGCGCTAGATATATACCTCGACGCTTCCCGTCTCGGTATTTTTTCCCACCACTATTCACCTCCCCTTCGGGGAATAGTTGTATAATATTTCGAATGTTACGCTCGCCGATCCTCATATTTCGAGCTTGGGTTACCTGTGGTTACTATTTCAGTAGCACAAACAATATGCGGCTCACAGTTGTATGTGTTCTTGGTAACCAATGCGTAATGGGAAGTTATATGAAAGGGTTTGTGCGGACAAATAAAACGACTCACCAAACGTCTTCGCTTCACTTTTGTGTTGTGTCAGGTAAACTTTGCATGAATCAGTGAGAACTGAAACTCCTCTAAAAAATCACACAGGATACAAATAGGTAAATTCAAGTAGGAAAGATTTTTTTTTTCAGTACAAATCCTTATAAGGTCTTATAATTCCTTTAATACGCAACGGTTACTGTGCCTCGCAAGTAAGCCTAAAACGATTATTTCGTTGAATTTATGGGGTACGTGGTTTTTTCCAGTTACATTAAACCAGTAACGAATGGCTACAAGATCTCGTGAATATACAGCAGTTTAAAATCTTGTCTTGTTCACTGTTTAATCTGTTACTTAGTGAATGATCAGTTAAGCATTAAAAATTGAAGAAAAAAGACTTTATTACATTGTATTAGTGCTTTTTCTCCAGACAACTCTTATTACAATGTGTGAGAATCGTGAGACCCAGTATATCATGACCTATTACCACGGTTACCACTATCGATCCTACTTTATTACGTGATTGATTGTGAGAAGATAAAACACTGTCTTGGGCTTGTGGCAAGAAATTATCCCGGTGACCGGCTTTTTGCGGACATAAGATAACTTCCTGTTTTATTTTACGGCCTATATTTGATACTAGCGTCTTGATATTTTGATCACTGACACTGGTTCGCTTACAAAATTTTCATGTAGTTGTTGGGTTTTCAAAGGATTATTCTCGTTCCCAGGGGTACTTGCTTTGATGACCCGCTATACCGGGGTCGGGCAGGTTCCGCCCGAAGGGGTATCTTTTTAAGCTGTACGTATATAAAGGATAGGGAAATTTGACGCATCCAAGTTTGCTTTTTTAGTTTGCTTCGTTTTTAAGGCCTATGCTTTCCGTGTTGGCCACTCTCGCTTGTCTTTACCTCTCCGTATTCATCCGCATTTCTGACAGAAAAGATTTTAATTCGTATCCCTCAACCAAGAAATGGTATTTCTTTGACATATCTAACTGTAAGAACACTGTCTCCCATTTTGGACCAATTTTCTAAACTCTTGCAATAGCGTGTGTGAACGATATTAAGGGGAACAGGTATAAGGTACGTCTGTTCCAAACATTTCGTTTTAAGGACTGAACTTTTGAACACCTAAATGAACTATTTACCTACCCTTTTCTTCATATACTTCAATTCGTGAAATCCCATCCCTTTTATTTACTTCAGAAAGGTATCTCAGGCCTTATGGGGCCCTATACACGGGCGCCATTAGAGGGATTTTGTATCTCGCGCGGGCGGTACCACAACTATTTTCAAACGTAGCCTCTACGCAAATGTCGAGTCTACTAGGCCTGGTTCCTAGAAAGATGGTTATATTTAACGCAAGATTAAGCCAAAAGTTACGCAAGGTTTTCTTGACTAACTGAACATACAACTCGAGCTTACAACACACAGTTGAGCTTTTACTCAGATATAGGTATGATAACACGGCAAAATGTTACTCTAAGCAATGCATAGAAAGGTAAATACAACAAGTGGAAAAAAAAAACATTAATCCTGGATAAGCGCTAATCGGTCTTTCAGAACCTGGCCCTGTTGGCTAAGATTACGGAGTTTAGTTCAAACTCTTACAAAACGCCAACAGATGACAACTACGGAATGCATACTAAGGCCGGACACCGTTTTTTTCCGTTGTTAACTTCCCTTTTTTTCATTCATTTATGATGGATCCATATTCGTCTTTCAACACTGTGCAAACTCCTTTGACTTGGCATCATCGCGAGTTCCCGCTCTACCTAATGTTGGATGACGGAGAAGGTCTCCAATAGCCTCCCACGCAGCCACGCACCTTGACAAAATCCGGCCAAAGAACGTCTGCATGAGTTAGGGTTAGCTAGGTCTCCGAGTGCCTCCCATCCGTAGTCAGTTTCCCCGCTAGAGTCGCTCAAAGTCCTTCAAGGAATAGGAAGCTGTTGTTTTTGTTTCTTATTTTCATGAGGCCTAATTCTCCAGGTTCACCCGCTTACCGGTCATGCCTTGAGGCGTTGTCTTTCTAAGAATAAGAAGGTTTTTTGTCTTTTAATTCTCTTCATCCCTTTTCATGCCACTTATTCTACAACAACAACACTTTATTTAACCCCATAATATGCAAGAAATAAAAATTTATAACAATAGTACAGACGATGATAGGGGCGCTGGCTGCCCGAAATAACCTAAGAGTTAAAAATGCCAGGCAGCCAGTTAAAAGAAAAGATGTTTAAATGTTTAGGTCAGGGACACAAGAACAAAGAAAACAGAGAAACACACACAAATAGTTAAGTAAACTACCAGTATATAGAGAGACTAAAAATTCATACATTGCAAAACAGTATTATTTCCATTTTAAAGTTACCCAGAGTTACCCTAGTAATCTTTGATAAAGTGCTGTTTCATTTTCTTTTTAAACAAAGACAATGAAGATAATTTGATATCTTCGTCAATGGAATTCCATACTGGTGGACCTTGAAATCTGATATTGAATATACCATATTTCTTCTAAAAGAAACACTAATAATAAACTAAGCACATCCCGGAAGTAACTTGAAAGCCGTAGCCTGAAACAAACTTCATACTGATGTGGTTATCTACCGGCGGCAAACTAATATATTAAGGCCGCCTATGGTTGCATGCGGCCGCAGAGGGAAGGTGATGAACCGTCGCTAGCAAGTCCTCATAGAGGCCACGAATTTTCCCCCGGAACTTATGACCCAAAACCTTCTGTTTGAGAAATAGTTTTGGTCTTGTTTTTTGAAGTAGGTTTTTCTTCCATCTCGTCCGTAGCACACGTAAAAGTGTTCCATAAACTGTTCAGGTCCAACAGGAGAATGAAGTGCTCCAGTAAACACATCGACACCTTGAAAATGCGCCTGCGAAACATAGTGTTCACGATATGGAGCAAATAGAGGTGCATCCCAGGTCAAGGTGACACTACACAACACCAATACAGCTAATAAACAGGGTAAATAACCCCATCCCCACGGCTCCATCAACGTCCCGCCTCCAGTCGGGCAAAACTGCAAGAGAAATTTGATAAACATTTTCGCCTCTAGTTAATGCAGTACTTTAGCTAAAACTTTACGGAATGTTAATCGAAGTAAGGAGCCCAAGTTTCAAGAACGAGCAAGCCCGGCCCATTCGCCCGGCCCATACGCCGAAAGACTACTCAAAACGTCGGCGCTTCCGAATCTTTTTTAACTGTGGTTATTTAGTATACCCTGAATTCAGTAGATCAAGTTTGTATTTCACTCTCCCATGGCCAACGACTGCAAAGTAATCTGAAGTAACCGCTTTACACTATACCACAGTGTAAGACGTTTCTTTCGGGAGTTTGCGACTCGAGGAGACGGCTGAAATTCGGGCTATGTAAATCCCACTGAAATTTAATAGCTGACGCTGCCCAGAGTAAGTATTTCTATGCGAAAGTGACCGTCTATTCTGTCGACACCATATCATATATAACTATCTTTTCTTTAACAAAGCGAGTGGATATATATGTTTGTAGGTTCTGCGGGCTTTGCAAGTTTGTATGTTTAAGAAAAAAAAATTCTAACTTTTTTTACATTCTCAAAAAAGTTTCAGTCGTCAAATTAATTAATCCTAATTTTAATTAACGTACTCTGGATAATGTCGCTACTGGTATAAGAACGCATTACCATATTTCCTCGACTTTGGGTATAAATTTAGGGGAAGTATGTTTCATTCTCGGAAATGTGCCGAGATTATCCTACACCGCGGCCATCGGACCGACGCTCGCCTATTCGTTAGTGAGCAGAGTGTGGGTCTGATTGACTCAACCTTCCCAACTCAACGATTGTGAAAGGGTGAAATCAAGAGGCTTTCAACGTCGCTATATTTATTTTGTTAATTTGTCATATTGTCTCAACGTTAGGTGTCAAAAAACGTAAATGTACGGGAAGATGTCATTTGATGCAGTTACTCAGTAGTCAAGTTACAAGTTTGATGCAGAACGCAGTCAAAGTCAATTGCACGAGGACTGATTTTCAACAAACTTTGTTCTTATTTTTGCAAGATTTTTATAAAAAAAACTCAAGATAACTTGATGCTGAAATATGAATTAATTTTTCGTTATTCTAAATTGATGCAGATATTCAAGCCCTGTATAAAGGATACTGTCTTAGTTGCTCTATTGATAATGCTAACAAAAATGTAGAAAATTACTTCAGCATAACGTGAAAAACAGAATTGACAGCCGACAATAAAAAATATAATCTTCAAAGTTTTTTCCATCAAAACACCTGGCGTTTAAAGATGTAGTGAAAATAATATAGAAAATTTATCGGAAATAAGAAGCAGTTCAGTGATACAAGACAAGCAAGGTTTGTACTCACAGTTAATCTGAATACTGCCTTCTCGCTTACAGAATCAAAAGCCGAAATGACCGCAATATTCTGTGCAAACCAGATAACAGAAACCACTCAAGTAGAAACAACAACACAAAGTATATATAATCCGAGTGAAGCTCAATTGTCAGATCGGAAAAAACCCTACCTCCGCTCCTCGTAACGTTTTTTATCCCCTAATACTATAACCTAACACATAGTTATCACCACTTATGCGAAACAAGAGAGAGCTTGGTTTGGTTTAAGGAATCCCTAGGCTCATGATACTGCTCGGCAAACTCGAGCGACAAGTTAGATGTTTACAACCTGTCGAACAATAATTGGTTGAGTCGCGCGTGTGAGGCCGCCAGTAGCGACGCGTATCACGGGTCTGAGTAAAGCACCTGCTAACTCTGTCAAACATGTAAACACAGATGCGGCCGGCAAACTTCAGCCCTGTCAATGACTCACTATAAGCAGTCTAAATAAGTAAATTTCACCCTAGTGTAAGCAAATTTATGGAGGATTTATAGATGTTCCCAGCATGAGAACATTTTTGTAGAAGTGAAAGCGGAAAACTGTTCATCCTTGTTTTCTGTTGAACAGTTTAGTACGGGTCTATTGTAAGGCTGATCACTGTGGAGATAAGACTTATAAACTGTGCGACATAAGTTGTATGATAACGTTTTGATCTATTTCGCGGATTCATGGCTGAAGGTTTTAGAAAAGAAATATTTTTCCTGTTATTTCGACTCAGCCAGCAAGGAAAAAAATTCAGTTCACGTCTCTCAGGGCGGAAACAACGCAACTGTCAAAAAAAAAAAAGAAAAGAAGGAAGCCATGCCGGCCACTTGCAGGTATCTAGTCAGTGTACTTTGAAGTTCGTTTCGAGTATTTTCAAATCAAGAGAGAAGTTCAACTCACCTCGAAGAGAAAACATGACGAAATCACTAAGCCACTGCTGGTATACTATGGATCATTAATATTATTTTCCGCAGGGATAGTAGAACGAGCGAAATACTCTGCCAGCGCGCGTCAAAATTACCACTAATGAGAATAGTCTAACATACGGCGGGGTATTAACCCACTTGATCCAACTAGCATTCTCTTGACTTTTTCAAAAACCAGAATGGTAATGGGGTCGGTTAAACTGCATTTTACGATTTCTTTGGGTGGAAAATGTACCCAGTCTGCTGTGCATGTTAAACATGTGACAAATCAAGAAAACCGCCATTTTATTTATTGTTGGTTTATCTTTTGGAAAAAAAAAAACGAGTTCATTGGACGTTAGTACAATGCGGGCTAACCTTCTTCCGGGTTTCATTTCGCATTTTCAGAAATACTCCTTTTTGCCGTAAAGATTACAGAAAAGAATAAACCATCATAAACATAAATCTACGTTAAATTTATTTTAATAGCTGATGAAGGTGAAATGAAAGTATAAAACAGCAATTGTTGAAGTCAAGTACCCGCATTTGCTAGAACAGTAGTGTTTTCCGGTGTACGGGACTTGCTTGTTGCAATAATATACAAAAGAAACTGGTCTTCTTTCACTCTGTTTGTAAATTAGCTGTCACCTCAGTCACGTTCAGCAATGGCTACTAAATGTCCATCAATTTCAGCCTCAGTAAGTTTCCTAAAATGAATATATACAAGTTACAATTCTATACAATATACAGTTAGAAACGAGTTTTTACCTCAGCAGGGCATTTTAAAACCTATGAGACACGTTTAAGATTCACGAAACATTGTCCATCAGAATTAGATTCAGGAAAGCTGAGCTGTAGCCAGCTAAAGAATGGCGGCCGGCATCCTCCCCCCCTTCCCCCCAACCGGCGAATCAGGGTCATCCCAAGGGAGACTTAAGCCTGGTTTCCATCTAACAACTACGATCGTTCAGATAACTAGATTTTTTCTGCGATCGTACACTTAANGAGCTGTAGCCAGCTAAAGAATGGCGGCCGGCATCCTCCCCCCCTTCCCCCCAACCGGCGAATCAGGGTCATCCCAAGGGAGACTTAAGCCTGGTTTCCATCTAACAACTACGATCGTTCAGATAACTAGATTTTTTCTGCGATCGTACACTTAACATGTAAACCAGCCCTAAAATTTAAGAACTCCACTTAATTATGCGCGTACATTGGAACCAAAGCTTGTGGCTAACATTAGGCGAGGGTTTCGCGCTTATTTTATAAAAGTAAAAACTGTTTTGTTTGACGAGTTTTGAGGATAAATACTCTGAAACATCCTTGGGAAACGACAGCGACGGAAACGTCAATAGCTGCAATTACCTATTTAAAAAAATGAGAAAGGGAATCACCTAAAACGTGGATTATCAGTAGTAACAATACCAACTTCTAACTCGGATGGTTTAAAATCTGCAGATAATACTGAAGACAAACAACTGATGGCAGTCTGCAAAGACAAAAAGCAACCAAACAAAATAATCAAAAACTTCTTCTCTTATACTCTGACTCGGCTTTTTTCTAATCACATATTCGGAGACTCTGAAGCAGTAAAAAAGGATGAATATTCACGGGCGAACTACTACTACTATGGCCCGGCCGAGCAAGAGCACGTCTCGATTCAGTACGCTTCATCCAGGTCTCCCTATCCAAAATAGGGTGAAGACACAGATTAAGAGAAGAACATGGGAACCCCTGGGCATCTAGTTTGACCAACCAGTTCCAAAAGCATTTGAATTGATTCCCTGGCTCTGATTGGATACAGAACATTTTCAAATACATTTGGAGCAAGTCCGTAAAAAGAAAATGGTGGAGGGGGGGAGGGTGGGGAAAAATACAAAACATAACGTCAGAGTGATGAAAGGTAATTCTAGCACGACCTCAGTGCATTGCAACAAGTAGCATGGCATACATTTCAGAGAGCTTTTCAGTCATGTTAAATGAATATCTGTGTTTTATTAGGAAATAGCATGTGTCTTTAGTACACTGACATACCTCGATTGTTTCACTTTGTGTCCAAGCATGTTTTTTCTTCACTTTCTTTTCAAGAAAGCTATTTGCTTCTGTTTGTTTGACTCCAACACTGCAGCCCTTGAATCCACAGTAATAACCAGCAGGATCTGTTTTGTACAGTTGAGGTCCCTTTTCATCATCAATTCCAATAAGAATCATACCTGCAAGATAGGATACAATAAAAAAGGTCAATGTTTTGCTCATGCTAACCGATTTTGGACATACAGAATAGTAATCACACACACATTTCCTCTGTAATTCAAGGCAATGACACAACTCAAGACCAAGTGGGTTTTGCATGAGTTAGGAAATTCTACCAAACCATGACTAGGGCCAGGTTGTGCTTAACATCCGTGTTCAGTGTCAGAAGCAGAATGGTCATGTGATCATCCCTCTCACAACCATTCAATAAAATCAGTAAGACTGATAAACTTACTGCAATAACGTCAAGGTATTTTTATCACATAAGTTCTTGCCTTGAGCTGAACTTTTCAATTTTATCATTAAAATGAGATTCTGTTTTTTTGTGTGTGTGTGGTGTGACCATATATGCCTGGCCCCAATTGGAAAATAGAATCCACTCAAAAATCAATCTCTATCCAGTGGATAACACAATTTGACTTCCCTGATACTTATCCACTGGATAGTGTCATCCACCTTTTGAACAACTGGGGCCCTGCAGGTTGAAGCAAAGGTGAACAAGATCACAGAAACTTACTGCATCCTAGAGGTCGCATCTCTGCATTTTGAGTGTAGACTTGTGAAATGTCAGCAATTCTTTTACAGAGCATGTCCACTGGAATTTCATAACCATATTTATATTTCCAGTTGGCTGCTTCATATCTAGCCCTCTGGACTTGGGAACGTGAATCAGCTGAAATACAAAACAAAAAGCCGGTAAGCTATTTTTCACCATCAATGGCATATTGATGAAGGTGACTACTATGAAGGTGACCCCTGACTACTTAAAAAAATAAATAGAGGAAAAACAGAACCAAAAGCAATCCCTAGCTGCTTGATTTCCTGCCAACTTGTTGTATTTACCCAGCAACTTGAAATGTACATCAGGGGTTTCAGTAAAACATGGGTACTGGCACTGGTCAGTGTACTTGGAGCACCAACCCTCTTCAAGTGAAATGGAAAAGCCAACTCTCAAACCAAAAATTTCCAACTTTCTCTGCCTACTCAACCTGAGGAACCCTTCTACTTTTAAAAAATAGTGAAAACCCTTCAATTATACATGTATAGTGAACAAATGTTGCAGAAACTGTGTTCATTTCACAACCAAGACTGGGAAAAGTGTCATGAAAGATGTTATTTGTCACAGTAGTAGAATGGTAGGCTCATTTATCCTTCATCTCACAACAGTCATTTATTTTCAGTATTGATCATGATGCTTTGACTGCAAATCTTCATCAGACAATGGTGTCAATTTAATGGGGGGGACTAGTCACTGGGGACACAATGGCTGCTTTTGATAATGTAACATGAAATTTGCTCATGGTTTGCAGGTTTTGATCTACAGCATTGTTGGAATTGTTAGAGGAAGAAAATGTGTTACTTAGTAACATAAATGTTTGGTTTGTATCACGTAACATTTAAACTATAAATCATCATTTGGCAAGTTTCTTATTCCAAATATAACTTTAACAAAGAAAGTGCAACTTTTAAAGTAATGGTTGCACTGGAGAGTCCTTTTAGTGTCTTCTGTCTGTTTAAATGTCAACCATAATGAAAAAAGGTCACTAATAATGGTAATCTACAATGGTCAATCTGAATGGATAGTGTTTATTCTAGTTTAATTGACCATTTACAGGAAACTTCAATAACATTGTGTTTAAAGAAAGCAATCAGATACCAGTAATACTTAAACAATTTCATTGTAATACCATGGTTAACACGGTACATAAATGTTGGTCTGTATGGTCACGACGGTACACTGTCCAGAATTGTCTAGGGATCATTTGAACAATCTACACTTGCTATAGACCTTTGCATTTAAACCTAATAAGTCTTAAGATTTAAATGCCAAACTAGCTACCAGATTACAGTCAAGCCAGGTCAAGCATATCCCCCAAGATTTTATTCATGTATTTATTATTAGTAGTTGTAGATTTTAGATTCATCTCTGCATTCCTCCATGCATAATGAGCCATGATTTTACACGTGAGGCAGTTATACAATTTCTACCAGCTCAGTTTCCCTGAATTTGATGTAAATGTCTTAGAAGCAACTTTATCCACTCAAAGATTTTCAATCTGACCAAATACTAAGAAGTTCTCGCAAAATATTCACTGTGCGTTATGAATGCAGGAATGCTGCTTTGAATTTGACACTAGTTATGGGAACAACTAATGGATTAATTTTTCAAATAATCAATTCATTAATAGAATCTTGGGGAGGTATGCTTGACCTATCTTGACTAACAAAGTTACATAAACCACTACTTGCAGCAAAAATTAAAATTAACAGTATTGTCACATAAAAAGGTAAAAAACCATCTTACCTATCAGTCCAGTCATAACACATCCTATTCTTTCAGACAATTCAAACAGGTGTGTCATAGTGTCAGAATCTAGCAGTTTATCCTGCAAAACATCATCAGACAATTTACTGCCGAGTGAGTTTTGGACCATCACTTCTTAAACTAATAGCTTTAATTTAAACATGCCATTTATCTGCTCAACATACTTTACTAGCCAGCATTAAAAGCAAGTCTTGACACTGTTTTTCTTGAAAAGGTCTTCGCTGGCTGTAGCTTAACATTCAGTGTTGAGTAAAACACAAGTCTAGATTAAACATGAGTATAGCTTTTGAAATTAAGGTCAGTAATACTATATCCAGAATTGTCACTATTTATTTGCAGTCACAGTCATTATTCCTGCATTTGTATATATTTCAAGTTATCCTTTTTAACTTATATTTCTTTTGAATTTTTCAACCCTTTTTTTTTACGAGGGCATTATAGAGAGTCATAATCTCTGTGCTCTTCATGGGTAGATAAACTATGAGGCAGGTACAAAACTCAGACTTGGATCACTTCATCTACATACTTACCACACAACAGTTCCCATTGTTTTCCCTGTAAGTAAAGGAGTTGATCTGGTCCGAGTTTTGTACCTGCCCCAAACTACGTCTATACCTATGTCTGTCATATTGTATCAAGACCGTCTCCAAGTCTACTTACTAGTTACTGGTGCTGACAATTAAGTAAGGAGACATCAGAAAAGAAAGGATGATTTGACCAATGACTATCTTCAGTGTAAGAACAAGAGATTAAAGTAGTACTGATCATACTCAAACTATCACTTAAACTCAATCTACAGTCTAAGACAAAATTGTTGGGACACTTTGCTGTCTTCTTGCCAACACAATGTTAGTGTGTAAGATTTGGTGTGTTAACTGTGGTAAACAACATTGGGAGGATGAGGAGACAGGCCAGAAGTAAAAAAAAAGCATTGAGTGGAAGTGTCCCAACTATTTTTGTCTGAGACTGAAGTACTCACAGGCTAGTCTGAAATCTGAACAGACCAAACGTTTATTATGGTTGTTATACAAACCAAGTAAGGAGTTATGTTTCTTTGTGGAAAAAAATTTGCAAGTTTTTCTTTGTGTCTATATATTACTGTGATGGATAGCTTCATATGTGGCACATGTTCCAAACTTATAGTAATTGAAGGGATATTTTAAGATTCAAGGTTCCATTTCTGTAACCACAAAAAAATTGTACACATCCGGGGTATACATACATAAGACAGAACTACTTAAGCGAGCGTAGTTCAGGGTTTTAAAACTAAAACAGTTTAACATTTAATGGAGGTACGGATAAATTTACAGTAAATCCAAGGAAATTAAAACTCACTGGAACTTTCTTTTGAGTTACAACCACTGCTGAGTCAGCCCCACGAAGACCAATTGACGTTAGACCGCCTTGGTTTATCGCTTTAAATGCATATTCTAAAGAACAAAAGTAACAAAAACTTATCACTCAGCACAATAAGTAATCAACGGTTTAACAGTCAACTAACCAACTTGGTACAATCGTCCTTCGGGAGAAAAAATAGTGATGTGTCGATCAAATCCAGCGCTTGTACCACGCGACATCTTGAATTTAGCGAATAAATAATTCCGAGAAAGACCTGGGTCGAATGACTCGGCGAAATGTATTCTGGGTCTGGGTGGGATGGGNCTTTAAATGCATATTCTAAAGAACAAAAGTAACAAAAACTTATCACTCAGCACAATAAGTAATCAACGGTTTAACAGTCAACTAACCAACTTGGTACAATCGTCCTTCGGGAGAAAAAATAGTGATGTGTCGATCAAATCCAGCGCTTGTACCACGCGACATCTTGAATTTAGCGAATAAATAATTCCGAGAAAGACCTGGGTCGAATGACTCGGCGAAATGTATTCTGGGTCTGGGTGGGATGGGCGGGCAGAAGGTGGGCAGCAATATTGGGTAAAAAATTCTTGAAACAAAGGTGGGAATTTCATATAACCCACGATGCGTCGCGGCTAATTTCTGTCTTCTCTCCGCGGCGGAAAGAGCGTTCGAAGGTTTCGAGGGAGCTTTTCAACGACCTAAATTTCAAGATGCAGCCCATCCAAGGTAAGTTTCAATGAACCCTGTTCTAACAGGGATTAAATTCTTTGGTATCTGATTGATAATGTGAAATGTTTCCATGGTCATTTCACGCATTATTGCTCTCGTTTACGACCCTGTTAAGTCATGCTGTTTTAACGCGCCAGTGAATATTTACTGAGATGACTTTCAGTTATCGAAAACTGTCTTGATTCTAGCAAGGTTTTGCTCTAATAAATTATTTATATCGGCGGACAAGGGGTTCTTGATGTACTAGTTCCACGCTCTAACCTAATTCGACCTCGCGATTTTTATGGGTTTGATCGTTTTGAAATATCGCATTTTCTGCCCTTTCTCCGCTAGGATGCAAGTGAAGGTTTCAATTCCTTTATGCTAAGTCCTGCGATGATGGGAAATTTTTTCTTGAGTTCGCTCTTTTTTCTTTGATCAAAAAATCAAATATTAGCTCTTGAGGGTATGATGAATGTTTAAATTCAATGGTTTATAGTATAAAAGCTTTTTTGTTTAATTATTTTAGGTAAAATTGGTTTCTCATGGTGGCTTCTGGTCGCAACCGCGGAACTTGAAATATACAGGCCTTTACCTAAAACCAAGATGGCCCATACAAACGCCAAAACTTGTATAAAGTTAAGGTACTGATTCTGCTTCTTTTAACTCAATGTAGCTTTGTTTGGTCTTGCGTACCGTCTGACTCCCTGTAACTGAATTTATGAATCATATTTCCCTGTTAAAAGGAGAAGGAAGGGTTCCTTTTTCTCCGCTGGGGAGGTAACAGACATGCTGAGATTTTCATATTAAAACTCTAAATTCCGTGTTTCCTATAGGTAATAAATATGTCATAACGAACACTCGCAGCCAAAATCACCGATAAAAACAATTTATTTGCTATTGTGAGATGTCATACAACGAGTCAACTACACCGTGTAGTGTCTAGGATAAGTCAGTCTGAGTTGATTGCGCCGGGCAGTAGCTATCTTGTTCTGCTTGTGACATGGACTGTGCGCGCTGCTTGGATGAATGCTGCATACGTGTATTTCTCGTGCCATCTTCACGCGATCGCTGAACTTGCCTCGAGAAGTCGTGACGGCGATTGAAGTCGATGGTTCGCGTCATATACTCTCTCGCTTGATCTTCAGTGGTGTTGGTGTACTCGAACGTTTGCTGAGCTTTGGTAGAGGACTTCAACAGATGCTTAAGTTGCACCTCAAGAATATTGCATTCAAGCATCTTTTCACGATATAAGTGTTCCGCCATGTTGAGTTGTGTGCGAAAATGCTGCAGTTGTCTCTGGAACTTTTGATTGGTGACCGCTAACTGAGCACCAGCCATGGACATTTGGCGCCGCAGCCCACCATTCTCACGTAAAACGCGGTTTCGATGTTTCCTGACCTGAGTAAACTGCTTCTGAAGTGCTTCGTACTCAACCTCAAGGTCTCTGTACTTTTGTTCCCAGTCTTCATCTGCCTCCACCCTATTTGCCCATGAATCAGCAGCTTCTTGATTGTCTTCGTCCCTTATTGTCTTTTTAGTTTTCGAGACTTGTAGCTCTTCTTGAAGTGAAACGACCTCACGGCGCGTTGCCTCTAAGCTTTCCTGTAGCCCTTCTACGCGACAAAATAGTTCTTTCTTTTCCTCTTCTAGAGATCGAAGACTTTTCTCAACTGTATCCTTTTCAGATAACAAAAGTTTATTCTCTGATGTAGATTTTTCTAACTGACTCTTTGTCTCTTCCAGATCTGACTTGTTGTCCTGGTAGAGTTTCTCTCTTTTTTGCTTCTCCTCGTTAAGTTTTCTACGCAATGTTGAAATTTCCTCTTCTGCAGTATTCAGCCGCTCCAAGACTGTTTCCTTACTTTCTTGAATTTCTGCGTTTTCTCGTGTAACTTTAACAAGCTGCCTCTTAATATCATTGACGCAGCTGTCAGCCTCATTACTCAAGCTTTCGTTCATTTTTTGCTCAAGATCAAGTTTTTGCCTAAGTTGTGCTATTTCAGCATCGGCTTGTTCTTTCTGAAAAAACAGATTTTTCTTTAATTCCGTCAACTCTTTATTTAATTGTGATACCATTTCTTCACGCTGCTCTTCAATCCGAAAAGCTTTTTCTTGTTCTTTTAGGAGACGCTGATGTATGACGTTAGTTTCCTCCTCATCTTGTGACCTCAAGCGTTGAAGATTTTCTAACTCCTCTTTGAGAGATTCCTTCTCAGCTGTAAGTTTAGTAACAGTATCTTCAGCCGTCACAAGTGCCTCATTTTTCTCCTGGTTTAGTTTCTGTAAGGCAGAAGAAGACTCTTTGCTTTGTCTCAACTCAGTCTTTAACTCATCTTCCATTTCTTTAACAATCCGAAGACGATCTTCAACCTTAAGACGCTGCTCTTTTTCTACTTTTATAGCTGTAGTAAGCTGATCCACATTGCTGTTGGCGGTCTTAAGAGAGAGTTTCAGCTTGGTCACTTCCCTTTCAGCCTCTTTCAGAAGATCGTTCAAATTGTTTCTCTCAGACTCAAGATCACGCAGACTTGTCTCACTCAGCTTTTTGACAAACATCATGCATTCCTGCAGCGCCCCGTCCTGAACTTCATAAACTTCAAGCACTTCGTGTTCAACAATTGACATATCCTTTTCCCCTTCGTCAGCCATATTTTCTTTTAGTGTTATCGCATGTAAGCACGTTTTATAAAAATAGTTACACGTCACAGAGCTTTCATGAGTAATTTCGAGTGAGGTCGCGCACACGTAGCAATTAGAAATACGTTATATACAAGTTTTTTATATAGATATATTCTAGATCAATTAGAGCAAGCTTTGTAAAATTGCACACTCCATTACGATAAATCTAAAGTCATTCGGTTGATTCTTGTACATTTTTCTTTTCTGTGATTGGCCAGATAAACAGCTTTGGCTTTGTCGGTTTTGGTGTTTATGACAGTCTCTTCCCCAGATCCCTCTAGCCACGTAAAAAAAGAAATGACGGATTCTGGGGGTGCGCGCCCTAGGTGCGGACGTTTTCACGACGATCAAAATAAAATAGAATCGAATAAAGAGGTTTCTGAGACATTGTGCCGGTTTGTCGGCGTGGGACTGAAACACCATTGTTAAAAAACTGGACTATTTCCCTTTTACTAAGCGCTACCTATCGCAACGCCAGCTTTTGAATCAGGGTGGCAAATTTATTACACTTAACTGAGTTGATAAAGTACATTTATTTTTGCGAAATCTACTGATTAAATTCGCAGGCAACCTAGTTTTGGAGCTAATGGAAATCTATTACGTTCAACAGACATGAAGCTCTGTGCTGTTGAACTGGAGGGTTTTTATGTAGAGCGCAATTTCTACTAACATTTCATTCATCCCGGACTTTATTATCGCTCTAGCAGTAACGTACCATATGCGCTACTGAAGAATGGAAGAATGAAGCACAATAATCTTTAGTTATTTTTATTTTTCATTAAACATGGGTAGATTCATTTCACGTTAATAATGATACAGACCTAGATGCATCTATGGATTGACTCATTATATACATTTTCCATTTCATGGAATAAATCTATTTTTATACTAGAAACGTTTTTCACTTTATTAAATAACAAATAATAATAGTTAATAATAAACTTTTTAAGGCCCAGAATCCAAGAAAATTATTTACACTGAAGCTCTCCTTGAAAACTATCCTTGAAATTTAATTTTGGCAGCAAGCAATTGCGTCGGCAAAATTCTTCCTTAGAGAGTTCAGGCAACTGTGGAGGGGAAGCAGCCTGTACACAAAAGTTTTTTCCTTTTCTTCAAGAAAATTGCGAAGCGCGAAGTTTTCTCTTTTACACAATCACTCTTACTTGCGTTAGTGACCAAAAAGTGAAATCCCACGAGGATGATATTTTCTTACGCGTGCGCTCGACCCCCTAAAGCTGAGAAGGTCTATGAACAGGCTAGAACCTTCAGCAGCCAGGAAACAGCAACGAGAACGACAGGCCCCGTACACACGAATTCGGGCAGCTGGCTGAACTGACCGCAATAATCCGGTTTCAATCGTTTACACCAACTCGCAATTCCGTCGGATCCCTAAATACCACTCTGGAGAGAGGTTTCGGTGAGCTGATAAAAAAAATATAAATGCGGTTTCAAAGACTGATATCTGGCCTGATGCCTGTGGACGGGACCTCATAAAAAAGAAAAGGTTTTACGAGAAAAAGAACAACTCTGCACGTGCAATCCACTTTTCCGAATAAATTTCTTTGCCGTTACTACACGTTCCCCATGCGACGCTTAATAAAGGACGTAGACACACGACGACGAATTTTTCTTTCTCTGTCTCTCTGAACTTGGTCACAGTCCTTAAGAATTCCACTCGAGGCCCCAGTTGTTCAAAAGCTGGATAGCGCTATCCACCGGATAAATCACTATCCAGTGGATAAATATTAGGAAAACCTACTGCGCTCTCCAGTGGATAGAGACTTATCCGGTGGATAGTGCTATCCACCTTTTGAACAACTAGGACCAGGTGAATTCACCGACATTTTTGCACCAATTTGAACGAGTTGGAATAAAAATAATCGCCGTCAAGTTAAAAAAAAAACAACAACAATAATACATTTTAATGGTGACATTTTCACTGCTGTAGCCCGACGTTCCTGAAAGGCACTAGTCTTGCCGATCCGCGTTTGTTCACGGATTGTGTTTAACGAGAAGCGGAAACACCACTATGCCGTTCCAACTCCAGTCTTTTTTATCATCACAATGCAATCACATTACTTATTCAGTTAGCGCCTGAGTTAGATGTACGAGCGGCTTTTACTGTGTTCACCAACTCGCTGTAAGCAGGGGTTCGATTTTCCTCAACTCCCAGCTCTTCAATCTGAGATGAAAATAAAAAAAAGGAGAAATCACCAAAATTCTCCCACCGAACATACCAAAATGCAAACATATTTAACAAAAGGTATCTGTGTCTTACCACTCGTCCAAACTCTTCTGTATCAAGAGTAAATTGGAGTCGAATCTTGTCATCATCGCTCATAGCAGATTGACCCGGTTCCTGGTTTGTGGTTTGACCACCTGTGCCAGTTCCCTGCTGTTTTCTTGATCGTTTAAGACGCATTAAACTGTCTTCAGTCCGTTTAATGGACGTCAATACATCGCCTGTGATGTTGTGGTACCTAAGAGACAATAAAAACACCGTGAATAGTTTGAACCCCAGGAATCGTGTCATAAGCAGATGGGAAATGATCATCCGGGTGAGTGTAGTCTCCAATGGGAATGTCGTTCACAGCGACTGGCGTTTCGACAACTTGTGCAGAAGATATCTTCAGATTAAAACGTGAAAATATACCCTGGTATTTCTGAACGGTGCAAGATGATAGTAGAGTGCTAGCTCGAAGGATGACATCAATGTGTTGCGACGAGAAACATCAAACTAGATCAATTGGTAGATAAGAGAGGCTACGCGCTCACGAAATATACCCATTTCCTCCGGATCTCCTTTCCCGCCACCGTATCTTTTCTTGCCGCTCCTACCAGACTGAGGTCGCTTGAGGCAAGCGCAAAAACTGGCGTTTCCCCGAGAAGGGAAAAATGTGCGTCTTTTACACCAGCTCCTCATACTAAAACCAAATTGCCGCTATTTTCTACTTCTTTACTGATTTATATAAACGTACTTCAAAAACAGTGATTGGAGGATAGCTGCTGCCCAGGCCTGGCGTTGTTGCTGACTGACGAGAGATTGGTGATGTTCCAGAAAGTCTCGGACAGGTTTCAGTACGCTGCTCACAAAAGGTGAAGCTTTGCTTGGAGCCTGTAAAATGATTAACTCAGTAACACATCTGCCGGTTAAAACATCTTACACATGTTGGATGCTATGTCATTAAAACCTAGCCTGCGAACGGCAGACGTTTCTCCTCGCTCAGCGGCGATGAGCGAGGAGAAACGTCTGCCGTTCGCAAGCTAATTAAAACCTTAAAGCTGCCACGGCATTCAAAAACACATTTTAAAACCCGATTGCTAATAATTTTAAAATCCTTTCCTGCTGTCTTAAGGCCTTCCTATCCAGTTATCTCAAAGTAACCAAACTAGTTAGTAGTATATAAGATTAGCATACCTCTTTGTTCGTTCGGCGGTATAGCCTGGGAATATTCTTGGCAGCTTCCAGTCCTTGAGAGGCTCGATTAACAACTTGGCTCACAATCTGCCCTTCTAATCCTGGCACCAGCTGTTGAACGGCCCCACAGCTCTCCAGAATAGCCTCTATTAGAGATATTCAATGAACCACGGGTTTAAACAAAAATGAACAACACTGAAAGCCACGTGTTCTAATTTACTAACACAGTTAAACCTACCGGAGAGTAGCTCTGTATCTTGAATGTTTGTTTGACGTAGTTTTGGAAGGATGTCCTGTCTGAAGAACTCGGGAACCTAAACAATTCAGAAAAAAAAAAGCTTATGACAATGTAGTTTTAACACAAAAACAAGATCTTGAGGTTTTGAGTCCGGATGAGACCTGGGGATCTTACTTGCATACTTACTAATGTTTTTTTTGTGTGTGCAAGGACGGAGTAGACAAAAAAAAAAGATGAAAAACCATGAGGGAGCGTCTTGTTTTGGTGGTGGTGGGGGAGAGAGATCATCCGCGCCGCTCCTCTCTAAGGGCATCTGAACGCCCCAACAGTAAATGAATATTTTAGTACCGATATATTCACTGCAGTCGTTACAATTCGCTTTTGATTATTCATATAGAAAAGGCGCACTAGAAATAATCAATGTTCTTGTTGTTATTTCTTTCTTCCCTTGTAAAACAACGTACTTAAAAATAAATACATCGCAGTGGCGATAACCACGCTAAAAGGCATGCATGCAAGGTGTTCAGTCGAAGTGCCTTAAGCTGCATGAGCACTGGAACTTCCTTTAGGGCGAGGGGAGATTTTAAAGGACGAAGTGGAGACGGTGAAAGAAAGGGAGGAAGTTCCTCTTCGTCTGCTGTCTCGAACGCTTCTCTCTTCTCACGCCTGATACTAAGCTAATGTTCCCTCACCACAGATTTTTTATTTATAATCCCCATAAAGTAAACAATAAGTAAAGAGACTGACGTCAAACTTGTTGCCAGGGTAACAGCTAAAATTGTGTAAGAAGAGAGAGAAACATACTGGCATCCAGGTTTAGTTATGGTTACACATGTCTCTGTGAGCAAGCCGGTACCAGTGGGGACAGGCTCACAGGAGGGAGTGGTGGGAGAAAAAGAGAACGTTTGCTCACAGTCTCCTACAAACATCCGGGAATAGCAATTTTCCGCAGCACATTCATAATGCTATTTTACATAGCGTGATTAAATTGGTCATACTCGGTTTATTTCCAGCAATATCCGCGGATGGTGCATTTTTTTCGATATAAAGTTTTAAGGTTTATGTCCCGTGGAAGATTTAGATCAAAATACAGCGTTAAATTTTCCCCAAACCAACAGGCCCTATCCTGTAGGATAATGGCTCGATGTATCCACAACTATTGTCTCCCTGATGACGAACGTCAAAGCTTACTTTTTTCAAGAGTGTGTTCAAGTCACTAAGTAAGTGAACCAAATAAGATGTAGCTGCATCGTCAGTTCCTTCGCTGACCTGCAACATTCAATCATATAGCTTAACAAATTTACAAAAAAGCAAATATAGAACATGGGCCAAGATCAACTGTGAAAGACGAGCATGAATGAAAATATAAAAAAGGTCCTTCAAGTAAAAAGCAGATACATACACCAGTTTGCCTTGTAGAGGACACATCAACTTTAATCCAAACGAATAATCTTGACAGAAGCTACAAAATGAACACAATAAATAATGCAACTTTTTAGATAGAAAACTATGATGGACATGAGGTTGTAAAGCAAATGTTGAAAATACTAACGAGATAGTCCTGGATTCTGGAATCCATGCTACGGATTCCTGATTCCAGGTACTCCATTTCAGGTTCCTTAGCAGTGGAACTTGGATTCCAGATTTCAATCACTAGCAGGATTTCAAATGCCTAGGGCAAAATTTCCGGAATCCAGAATCCTGAGTCCTACCTTACATGGGGCAAAGTATCTTTATTTACCAGATGGAAAATGTGTGTGTTATAACAGAAAGTCATACCAGTTTTATACAAGTTACATACAAAATATTTCAGAAGAAAAGGATTCTTTATACCTGAAGAGTTAATTTCCAGAACCTGTGACAGAGGGCCTGAATATACACAGAATCTTGCCAGCATCTCTCAATACAAAACCACAACGCGCTAACAGCTGACGTCAAGAACAGCTGTGGCGAGTCTGTACAGGGAAAATACAAAGTCAAACAATCATAATGATACCAAGATAGCAGAAAGTAAACCTACATAACACCAGATGGAAAGCACCTTGATGCACGTTTAACCCTCTTAGTTTTGAAATCCGAAATGCAACAAGTACCGCCTCCTTTTGCTATAGGCTGAACGCATTCCTCTTAATTATCAAAAATATTCTTTTTTTACTTTACTTCTACTTTTCATTTTCAGTTTTTTCCTTTCCTTTTTTATGCCATTGATTTTGGCATGTATAATTCTGTTGATATTTGGTTGTAATAATTTAACTGAGGGAGCTCATTCCTTACAAGCCCGGTGACTTTCATTGCGCTTCCTCGCCATTGGCTTTTTAAGTATTTAAATTTTCTTGTTTTTTGTTCATACTTATGGCAAAACAATAAACTGAATTAAACTGAACCATGGTTCATACAAAAAATTGCAACCATTTTTCAAGGACTTTTCAAGGACCACCTACAACACTGTACACTCCCAGTCGCTTGAACTTGTCAACAGTTTTCAGTTCACTTGTCCTGAATTGATAGTTACTTATTGTATGAAACATAGGGCACTTTATGTAAATAACCTTTAATTCCCTGAGCTATGATTTATATTCTACCTTCTACAACCAAAAGGCATCAAATAATACTTTCCAGGCCACTACATTCAAAGTTAAAGAAAGTTCAAGGACTTTTCAAGGACTTGCACAGAAATTTAACGACTTTTCAAGTGAAAATGGAATTCAAGGACTTTTCAAGGACGTCCCCTAAAATTCAAGGACTTTTCAAGACTGTGCGAACCCTGTGAACTGAACATAACTGAACTGAACTTATAGCATGACAATTCATTTGCCAGACCTCATTACCTTGCTGGGCAATTCCATGAGGTTCCTGTAAAGCATTTTCAAACTTACTGGCCATTTCCTGAAATCTGTAACAATCATAAAACCTTCTGGTAAGTAAGTGCTGTTGTCCTGTGATTTCTTCACAGTAATACATTAAGTACTTTAATCAATAAATAGATTTTATTTATTGATGAGAAAGCTACTATTATTTGCTTTCACAATACACTCTAGTGTATTACAAAGAATCTTAATCCATAAAAATGGACTCATGCCTATTCTATTTCTCCTAGTTTAACAGCCCAAGGCACCCGTGGAAGAAAACAGTCACACATAATAAATCCTTCAGCAACCCAAGCAGGAAGTTATTAGTATGTTTGACTGGCAGGGGTATTTTGCATAACACAGAACGTTGAATATGCCGAAAGTCTCTGAGTTTGTCAGGTTCCATTTAAGGTCATTAAACTGGGAAAACAGAACTGAAGCCTGATTCACGCAGTTTCCTAACCTTGCCTAATGACTAAACTTCAGAGTAACTCGACGTTCTGCTTTCGCCAAACACTGAATGCAGAATGCCAAGTGACTCTGAAGTTTAGTGAGTAGGTTTAGGAAACTGAGTGAATCAGATTCCATTTAGGCTCAGTTCAAACGTCGGATTTCACATGTGCCGAATTTAATTGCTATTTTAGTTTAAAATAGTTAAATACGGCATTTGATTCAAACATCGAATTTAACTCGCTGAACTCTGTCGAATTTAACTCTCTTCGCTGTCAATATTCCCAGTAATATAATAATAATTTACTAAAATTCATTCATTAAGTTCGGCACATGTGAAATGCGACATTTGAATCAAAAGTCGAACCTAAGTCGAATCTTCGACTGTTTCAGTCGCAGATATGGCAAACATTACATTTAATTTAAACAGTCAAATTTAATTGATTCAAACGTCGCACTTCACATGCATTTAACTCTCGCGTTAAGTTCGGCACATGTGGAATTCGACGTTTGAACCGGGCCTTAGGGTCGTTATACTGGGAAATCAGACCTGAAACTTGATTCACTCTGTTTCCTAACCCTAATCACTAAACTTCAGAGTCATTTGGCGTTCAGCATTTGGTGTTCTGCATTCAGCATTCTGCAAAATATCCCTGCCCATGTTTGACTGTGTGAAAGATTGGAGCCATTTATGTTTTAGAAAGTGGCACACAGCCAATGGGAAAACATGTGCTCCAATCATATTTCTTTCTGGACTAAAAAAAAATTGGTTTAAGAGTAAATGCTACAGAGATTTTGGTACCTGATTTGAAAGTAAACAGGTAAACTCCATCTTGCCATAAAAGCAGTGAAACTTGGATGTGACCTCAGTCGCTGTACACTTGCCTTTGAACCACAAATACCTTCAAACTTGTTAATGAACCATACTGTGGTCATATATTTCTGTAAGAAGAAATAAATCTAAGTTTAAACTTTGTAAGATTAAAATTTTGTAGATCTACAACTAAGTGGTTAGGTAAAACTTACAACAGATAAGATTCACTTTCAGCAAAGCCAAGTAACATGTAGAAATTAAAATCCTTGCAATGCACAAAAACATACATGTACCAAAGCTGAATTAGTCCACAAATCAATAAATTGGTAGGTTCTTTAAACAAACCAGTAGCCAAAGAATACACAAGACAGTTATGATGACCGTTAAAAGGAATCAGGAACCCTCAATAGGCTCCCGTAAGCCAGGGTAAATTGTGCAAAATCACTCTGTTGAAGCCCTCTTCCCCTGGTTTGGGTTGGAGATCACTTGGGTCCTCTTACAGTTGTTTGCATAGAATTTTATACAAAACAGCTGCCTTTTGTGCTCATCAATTTTTTTCCTTCGGGTCAACTAAGCCTTAATTTGTCCATCTGGGGGTGGTTTGAGGTTTAAACAATTTTGGCAACTCTTCTATATTTGGTGTAAACTGATATAAAGCAAAAACAGGAGGTGTGGTGTACAAAACTGCAAAGAGCTGTGTACTTTGGGAAAACAGCTGGGCAGACACTTTCGAGTCAGGATATATAATGGCCACAGAATATAGAAAGGAGGGAGAAAAGAATTTCACAAGTTGCACGAGCAGAATTTCTGCCAATAAGTATCATAACATATATAGATAATTTAGCCAAGGACAAGGTGCTCTGCTGCACATGCTTTGCATGTGCGAAAGCTCCGCTATAATCTATAACACACCATGTGTGCCAGAATACTCGTATTATTGATTGGGAGGCAAGTGAAATAGTTGAGAAAGAAAGCAATATTTTCACAAGGTGGATCAAGAAAAGCATACAAATCAGAGAGCAAACACTCCTACTATGAATAGTGAAGTATACCAGCTATCTCCTACATGGACCCAAGCAATCTCCACCCCCCCCCTCCCCCAACCAGGTGGGAGGGGTGGATGATTGAGCAGACAGGAGCATACTGAGGGTTCTTTCTGGCAGCTTTTGATGTTCTTGATTTTTATGAAGACAGCTGAGTGACAATCATCAAAACTGTCAACATCAGAATGGACTTTGTGGCTATGCTTAAATAACCCATACATAAACATACCAGAGCTCTCTGAAGGGAATTTTACAAGCAAAAAATGTGATTATTTTATGACTGAGATTTCTTCAATTCTGTCAACAGTTTAAAAACAAACCTGATGAAAGGAGTCTGGGTTTCCTGGGGCAAATATTGATCCAAGCCGTGCCTCAATAAGACTGATAGCCTCAGGCCACACAGCATTTACTACAAAGTCAAACCCTCTGATCCCAGCTCTGTGTTCACCAAACATTTCCAAGTCACTGGCAACAAACCTGCCAGATGTTATGTTGATCATCTGTGTACAGTGGCGTGGGACAAACTCAAGAATTTTGTTGTACACATCACATAGACCCTGTGATGAATCAGCTGTCAACGTTTTCTCGTTAATCACCTGGGGATATTATTATCAACACAGATAAATACAAGTCGCTTCATAATATGAATAATATCTGTTTTGTCAGATCAATATGTTGTGGTTCAGTTTTATCCTTTCATGGTTTAAATTTTATTCTCTTCGGTTTTGGGGAATGATAATGTACAATAATGAGTTAAAAACAAAAGAAAATGAAATTTAAACCAAGTTACTGATAAAAATTAAACTACAACAAATACAATAATATTACTGACACTTTTATTTATTTTTAATGTGACAATAAAAGTGGCTCGGGTGTTATACACTGAATTTCATTGACAGCTACTGATTTTCCACATTAGGCCAAGCTGCTGTTATTTGATTTGTGGGGCTTATGCAATAACAAACTTTGACATTTCTAACAACAGAGCTGGGTAAATACTGATTAATTGTTTTTTAATAATGTTTTTTCTTTAGGGGACATGGACCCTGGTAGTGTGGCCACCTTTTCTGGGCTGGGTGAGATCTTAATGAAGGGATAACCTTGTGATCCTCCTTCAGGTGTTGCAATGGCTACCTATAAACAGTGTATGTATGGATTATGTTTGGTACCATCAGCAAATTAAGGCATTGGTGCAGACAAGATACTCAGTAGCATTCCTTAACTAATGATAACCTACCTCACTCATATAAGGTTTGACAATGACTTCCCTAAACAGTATTTCTGCATCCTTTGTCTTGTCTATAATGGCATAGGTTCTTAGGACTCGTGAAAGCAGATTAAGCTCTCCTGTCTGAAGTCCTTCCTGAAAGGCTGCTTCCAACTTCTTTTGAAGAGTGCTTGTTATAACTGCTATTCGCTGTTATAGAATCATCACAAGTCATGAAAATGCAGCATTCTGGTAAGTTTCTACATACTTTTTGTCTCTCAAGCATTAGAAAAACTGTTGCATAGTTACAGAAAATTAACAGGTACTGTTTAAAGTGATTTTCTTCAAACAGTTCCATTCATAATTCATGGTATTCTCCAATAATACAATAAAAGTAATCTGCATCCTGTGTTCATGATGCAAAAAAATCCCCCAAAACACAATATAACTCATGGCATGCATCCTGTAGGACACAAAGATTGATTTGTAGAATAACCTGTTTAAGTCATTTTTGTGGCTGTTATTGTGGCTGTTGTTTAACAATGCATATTTCTTTTAATTTAGTACCCTTATTTTTGTTGTTTCAATAGAAGGACTATTATTTTAATTTCAGTTAACTGTGATAAAGAGGTTTGATGTCTGTCTTCAAATGAACTGTCTGGTTACATAAAGGTCCAAGCATTGTCAATTTAGGACGCGTTGTGTTTTTTGAACTAGGACTCACTGGTTCTACACTGGGCCCATGCTTTTTCACAAAATCTCAATTGCAGGACTGACATGTACCATAACTACTTGTAACAAACTGACTGCTTTTGCAGTAAAAAAAGGTTATTAAAACAGTACCCTAGCTAAGTAACTTACTCCTCTAATGCTCTCCACAAGTGGATGGCCTTGACTCTGTGTCACATAAAACTGCAGTTGATTAAATTCACTGGCCACTCGCTCAATCAGTTGAGAGTCATCTTCACTGGAACAACAACAACAACAAAAGCACTTAATAACATAACTAAACTCAATGGCCATGATTACTGTACAATTGTTTGGCTATTACAAAAGAAATGTAGATAGATGGTGCATTTGGCAATCCATGCCATACTGTCCTTGCTTCCATGGTGAAATACTGTACGACTCATAAAATTCAACCAAAACAAGAGCAAGGAAATTTAGAAAGGTACAACTGTAGCTGGTACAGTGCATTAAAGCACAAGTCCTCACCCATCAGGGTCTTTAGAAGAGACATCTTGAGTGATCTTTGATCCTTGTAAAAGTCTTTCAATCTTTTCCAGGGACTTTGTGATGTTTAACAAATGCTGCATACACAGCTAGAGCAAACAATCAAAAGAGATCATTCATAATGAAATACCAATGCTAATGGCCCTTGGATAAAACTATCACACTTTGCCATTAAAATGGATTAGAAAAAGGAGTAACAAGATAATAGATGATCACCTTCAACAGAAATATGTCACCTGCAGTGGAATGATGTCAGCATAATTTAAATAATACAAATTATCAAGAGTTAAAAAAAATGCAAGCCCATACAAGACCATACAATTTAATTTTTTTTGTTATTAAGTTGACAAAATAAGTAGCAAGGTGTTAAGGCAAGGACAATATTAAATTTTGATATCTTGTTTTGGGTTTGTTAATGTGCAAGATGAAGTTGCACTCTTGAATACCTGTTCTACCTGTGTTAATGTTAAAGCATTAGGAATGTTTTAAAGAAAGAAAAATTGAAATTATAGAAACATAAATGGCAAACAGCCCCTCTACCCAGTCTTTCATGCCTTGTTTCACTTTCAATAAATTTTCATTCTGTTTATGATTACATCTTGTTTCCTCTACACTTCTTTTGTGCTCTAGCAGCTTCCTACATGCTTTACTGTACAACAAAACAGAGCACAGTCAAGGCTTCTTTATTTTTTAATTAAAAGATGCAACACCTAAAATAATAATAATAATAAAAAAAGATAGTTATCACTGATTCAGATGCTTACTAATTTATTATATTACATGTAACAGAAATTTTTCATCTTTACATTTCAGTATGGGTGATTTAAATTATCATCTTCTCTAAATTTAGTTCTCTAAATTTCAGTACCTTTTTTTGTCTCAAAAGTGCTCTTTCATCCAGCTTGTCTTCAATTGCTCCAATGGTTCCATCTAGGTCAGATTTAATGAGCTGAAAAGAGAATAAAGATCAATGATGCAGTTTTTAAAATTCCTTTCTCTGTTCAAGTTCCAAAATGGTAACTTCAGCAATTCACATTCATTAGTTTATCATTATTCTTCTTATTATTATTGTTAATATCTAATGATTTCCACAAGTCCAATGGCACTTAACAATAATTGATTTAAAAACCAAGAAAAAAAAATAAAACAATATACAAATTATGATAAAAATCAGACAAAAAGTTAAAAAATATTGTTACACTCTGCAGGTTCAGCAAATAAAACATACAGTGGTAATGACAAGTTTTCACTGTTTTTAATCTGATCAAATCACCCTGTTGCACACTAGCCTGAATCATTTTCACGCTCTCACATGCCCAAATATGGCAGAATCATATTAGGAACACAGCATGCAGCATCACAATACGCTATGGCATGCAATTACCTGTTACACCCCCCCCCCCCCCCCCCCCCCTCCAGACCCCCCCATACACTACCACTACAACCCACTTTAAAAAACCAACACCAAAAATTTTTCACCTCTCAAATGCCCAAAAAAGGCAAAATCATATTAGGAAAACAGCCTGCCACAACCCAATACCCTATGGCCTGCAAATTCCCTTTACCCCCCCCCCCCCCCCACCCCCCTTCAAGACGCCATTATTCATTACGAGTAATAGTGATTTAAAACAGCAACAAACATAAGTTTCTAAACTGTTCGATCGTTCAGGAAACAAATGTTATAACTTCAGATTAAGCTAAGTGTAAGTGTTTTAACTCATAACAAAGTCTTTGTATCTCCAGGGAGTACTTCTGCTCCTCTGAGGATGCCTGGATCCCTCCTGGTGCTGCTGTGATGCTGGGGTTTCCACCTGGACATCAAGGGAATCACTGGCCTAAGAACAGTTTCCTCTGAATCTGAGGGTATTTCTCTTTGCCTCTTGCAATGGTGGGGTAGTGCATTGTTGTTGACATCACTTGCTAAGATACCCCACTCCATCGGTGTTTCCTCAGGCATCCCCTCATCCGGTCCTCCAGAACAAGGTTCCTTGAACAAATCGGCATGAGCCTTGCCAAGGTGCATGCAACGCCTGCCCCTGTGTACCACCTTGCTGTAGGCTTTGCCTGTGGACCTCACTGGATCCTGTACACAACATCATTTACATCTACCACGACAAGCGGCCCTTCCCATCACATTGGGTGGGAGCATATATAGTAGACATTGATGGGCCCATTGTTCCCCACAGTTCGTAAATGGGGTTGTCCATAATCTTGGCCACCACAATTTATTTATTTAGCTTCGCCTAACTAGAATACAATCTTTATACACGAATACATAAAAATAATTAGGCAGGGAGACCACTACAGCCAAACCAATTACAGTGGATCCCTCGTTAATTAAAAAACAAAACAAAAAAAAAAGAATAACTAAAGCTACTGATGTATAAACAAGACAATCCAAAGGAAACAAAACAAAAATGGCCTTGCTGTGAGGTAAGACCAGTTTGTCCTCAACTGCTGTCACTTGATAGCAGAGGGCTAGTTCGCTGGTTTAAGGCTTACGAAGGGGAACCTCTTCTGCTCCAATTCATAGGCTTCCTGCTCCTGCATCGACAGTACAGCCATGAGCCATCAGGAAGTCTAGGCCCAGTATAAGCCTGTCGGAAATATTTGTAACTAGCACTTCGTGCGAGACTTGGGTCCCTCCAATCCTGACCCAAAGCCTCAGTTTTCCACATACTTCTGCCATTTCTCCTGTTGCATTTTCGAATACCCTGTTAGTGGCTCACAGATGAGAGAGTGTCGGCTTTCTTTACACGTCTGGGCGAACTACTGTGATGTTGGTGCCTGTGTCAATGACCATAGGACATATCACTACTTTAATGTCACCGTTTATGGTAAAACTGCCCTCCTTATAAAAAACCGAGCTGCTTCTACTCAGTTCACGTTATCGGCCCAGTCCTTCATTTGTTGGGCGTGAAACTATTCAACCATCCTCTTCTGTTTGTTATCTTGGAGTGATACTTGATCCCAGTGCTGATATGGAAGACCAGATTAAAAAGATTTGCAAGACATATCATTTCCATTTAACTAATATTAGTATGATAAGAACATATCTGGATCGTGAATCTACAGAAGCAATTATTCAACATGCTTTCGTGACTACCAACTTGGATTACTGTAAATCAATTCTATATGGATTACCTAAAGTTCTCTTAAACTGCCTACAGCTAGTTCAGAATAGAGCAGCACATATCGTAACAATCACCAGGAGGTATGAACATGTAATACCCAGCTTAACAGACTTACATTGGTTGCCTGTTGAATACCATATTATTTATGAAACCTTATTGTTGGTATATAAGGCTATCAATGGATTTTCACCAAGTTATATATCCAATTTGCACTTATCTTATGGTGATCGAAGATTTTCTATTATAGGACCTAAATTATGGAACAGCATACCAGCATCTTTAAGAAATGCCAATTCCTTGAATACCTTGCAAAAAACCTTAAAGCCATATTTATTTCACCAAGCTTTTCCTTAATTTGTAAATAGATTTTTATTTTTATTTTCATACTTATATATGTAGTTGTTAGATTTTTTGAGTTATAGATATATTTGTGTGCTTGGACAGTTATTTGTTATTTCTGAGATCATTATTACTACCATGATTTTTATTCCTATTGTTGCAATTTATTTGCATCTTAACACTTTTTTTGTAATGATGTAAAGTGCCAAGAACAGCTAGTGATATAGATGTTATAGAAATAAAGTTTATTATTATTATTATTATCATTATCATTATTATTATTACTATTATTATTATTATAAGACAATCATCTAGCCATCAACAACACTTGTGGGGTTGTACTGATTGTTTGATGGGCCAGTGTTTCCCCCTCAAGTTCTGCCTGTCCTATATACTAGTTTAAATGAGGTTGGGAGAGGTTCTGGTTCTGCATATCTCTCGTATCTTCCAACCTTCCAACAATCTTGTTTCAGGTGACCCCTTTTTCCACATGCCCAGCATTGTGGCAGCCCAAAACTTTGGGAAGATGCCCCTTCAGTGAGCAGTCCTTTAACTTGTGCAAGTACATCATCCTCTCGGGATTTCCCGCAACCAGGCTCATCAGTTGAACTCTCTTCTGATGTACCACAATACATGCTTTGAATTTTGCAAACTCATTAATAATTCATAAAGAAAAAACAAGGGAAATTAATGTTTAATGAGTGTTTGGAAATCAGATAAAAACTGCTCATTTTGCATCCTTAATTTCTCCCTCTGAAATCATTTTGTTGAGAAGTAATATCCAGCATTCAACACAGAGTTTCATCATCAGATGAAACACCTCGAAGTTCGTCAAAAATATTCTGCTGTGCGTTGTATTTTCAACTCTGCTCTTGCTGTTTCATCTGGTGATGATACACTGCATCTCATGCTTGATATATTACTTGAAATTCCCTTTGGAGGGAGGCTAGTCAATAAAATGCCAGCTCCATAGCTAATGTCAGAGCAGCCTGGAGGGACTAGGGCCTACTCCATCTCCATCCAGGATAGTGTCAATGAATTGTTCCTTTATCAATATACTGTAGGTCCTTCATCTCCTCTGGGGCGCGAGGGTAAGCTAGCCTTACCAAGCAATCTAACTCCTCGGCAAGTTCTTGTAAAGACTCTTTAGGGGTGTCTCACCCTACTCTTAAATTTAGAGCAATGAAGTTCTTACTGAGTGCGCTGATCCGAATCTGCTCTCAAGAGCTGCAACTAGCTCCTTGAAATCTTGCGGGGTGTTTGGGGAAAGGTTTCCTAGAAGAGTTAAGGCAGGCCCCCTTAGGCTCATCGCAAGATAGTTCCCTTTCTGCTCATTGTTCCATTGATTCATTCCATCGACAATTACAAACTGAGTAATGTAGGACTCCCACTACGTTTTGTCACAATTTAATTTGAGCATACATGAATACAGCTCTCAATCCTCTCTTTTGCAAAAAGAGTGTTTTCAACCAAGGAATTAAAAGTCAAGTAAATCTGACTATCGTCGGCATAAAAATTAAAACTAACAATATGTTTATGAATAATATCAGCTAGGGGAGAGGTGTAAAGTAGAAAAAGCAAGGGAACCAGCACATATCCCTGGGGAACTCTATTAAATGAAGATCGTGTTTTGATGATTTGCTGCTATCAATGATATTTTTTATAAGCTGATTGAAAAGTCTCATGCAAGTCGTTATGGTGAAGATAGTTATTAACCTGAGCTGCTACAACCTTTCCAATCACTTTAGAGACGAACTTCAAATTGGAAAAGGGACGAAAATTTGTAAATTCCTCATGGTCAAGTGAACTCTTTTTTAGCAGAGGTATGTGAGGTGTCTTATTATAAAAAGGCAATGAATAATATACACTGTATTTACCAGTACTTCCTCTTTAAGTTGCCCCAGAGGAACTGACAAGCTGGAAATGTTTTTGTCCATTCCTACCTAAAGTGAAATACATTAATTTTACTCAATAGTTAAAGTGAAACCATGTCAACAGAAATGATCAAATTTTCCAACTTTACAGAGCCATATGTTAGCATCTTTTTTAACATGTGGTGATAATAATTTAGTAATGGAAACACCTACCAGATTAGTAGATAAGTTAACAAAGTCAGCGTAATCTTCATTGATCAGCTCAATTAGAGCATGTTTCAAAGCTTTCAAATAATCGTCTAAGTTTGTTTTTAGCGTATCCAAAGGGACACTCCCTTTGCAACTCCCAACAAAGCTATCCACGCTAAAAGATTCTTTCATGAAGTCTGCCCGTGAAAAGACAGCTAAGCTGGGCTCTCGAGGAACGATATCTTCACTGTTGAGGTCCGCCATTTTGTTCCAACTCATCACTGCAAAAAGTCCCAGGCGTCCTCTTAAGACAGAGGCATCATGTAATATGACCGAAGTGTCTACAGAGAAAAAGAGCACAGGACGTCACATGTGTCAGCATAAAATTCTTCAGCTCATTTTATGGCAGGAGAGGTAGAAATTGACGTAATTCTTAACGAAGGAGTCAACCAATCTCTTAACTCGAGTCTTCTAAACAGCTGTATTGAGTACCTTATATATCAACGACAACAAGTTCCGCTGCCTTTCCATGAACTCAAGAGAATCGTAGAAGATCAAAAAAAGATGTATGATGACTTGGATACTGGTGTAAGCAGTGCTAGGGAACGTCCAGTGGTAGGGCGATCCCTCAACAGTGAGGAAAAGAAAGCTGTCAAAGTATACGAAGACTTGCAATGTTTATTTGATCACATAAACCAGTTGTTCTTATCAGCAGACGTCAAGTCCGCCATGATTCTTCTGGGCTCGACAGCAGTCAGCCCCAAGGAAAGCTATTACGTCACGTTTCCAAGAACTAACCAAGGAAATCATACGGACCTTTCATCCAGGATATGCGGCTCATCCTGTCGCAAAATGATACGAAGCTTGATCTCGAATCAGGAGCTTGGTTCTTTCAAGGAGATTTCTGCTACTTCAATGTTAGTTTTTATTCAAGCTAACAGAAACTCTGTTATTGAGTGGTTTCGACCAAAACCCACTTTCAAACCACCACAAAGGGGTCAATCTTGTAAAATAATTCTCAGGACCAACGCTGAGCCAGAGCTGGAAGACAGCACTGATGACTGGATATGGTTCCAGGCTCCAGTTATCGTGAAAGGGTACAGGCATAAGACAGGAAGTGCAGGTCTCTAAAATTCTGAAATACAGTGCACACTTATGGGCTCAGTTATTTAAAACCCTAGTGTAATGCATCAGTCAATTCCACCCCTGGGAATTTGCCATCCAAGGCAAAAAAATGCTAATGCCCAGGGGTCAGGCCGGGGGGGTGCTGGGCACAGCTGGAATTGACTGATGCAGAACTGCTGTATGCTAAAGAAAAAGCTAAAGAAATACACAGTCATTTTCTCTCTTTTCTTATTTTGTTCTTTTCATTTTTGTGACATTTTAAGAATGACTAATACATGGCATAATTATTGTAAGTACAGTGTAAGCTCTCGTGAGTGGACACCCTCAGGGCACAAGAAGGTGTTCATTACTAGAGCTGGCTGGGAATGTAAATGTAATGTACTTTGTATTTTTCTTTTTTCATAATGTTTAGCTGACCCCATGCCATCAATCTCCGGCTTTGAAGGGTAGGCGTAACTGGTAAATAATAAATAATACAGAGTTTGTATGGGAGTTTAGATACGCAGGGTTTTGTGAAGGCTGCCTTAAGTAGAGCTGTCCGCTTGCGAGAGTATTTACAATAAGGTTACAGTAGTTATATCTTGGCTAAAATCCTTTCTCAGGTTAAACTAGACCCTGGTAACCTAGGTTGAATACCCTAACAGAATTCAACCAACAAGTTACATTGTGTTTTGCACAGTTTGCTCAGACTATATTATATGCCCCATTCACACCAACTTAACATGAAAATGGAAAATGGAAATGAAAAACAGCAACAGAAAACTAGCACATCTAGCTAGGCTTTTACATAACATTCAAATGAATTTTAACATGTTACATAATTGCACTAAATTTGCCATCAGTTAAAGTACGAAAGTACTAATTAGAAAGTACTACTAGATACAGGACTACCATTTTACGTGGTCATTTGAGGTTGTTACGTGACCAATCAGATTATGACTATTGTCTGACAGTACTGTTGAAATAAATTACATATTTTTTTCTTAAACTACACCAAGGGTTAACAATGTAATTAAATAGTATTTATATGATCTATCCTCTAACAAACCTCTTGGAAAGTGAACTGTTGCTATCTGTTACTTAGAAAAACTTATGTAGAAAATGCTGTATTTGTGTCTAACAGTATTACTATTGTAGATGGATTTTAATACTTGCAGCTTACAATAACCATGTTTCATTCTAGACATCAACTCGGATAATTTACAAACTATAATTAATTATAACATATGATTTTAGTTTTTTAGAAATATCTGTTGTGTCTCTATTTGGAGGTACTTAATAGAAATTATTTTCCCCAAAGCAGGCAATTTTTAGTGAGAAGAGATTTCTGATGAACAATTTGAAGTTTTTGCTGGAGTGCAACCAAAAATGTGACCAAGCAAAAAGTAAAGCCTAGAAAAATGTTTCCGAGAATTTTCTCCTAAGCTGAACACAAGAAATTTCAATCAAGATTTTTATGCGAGTAACTGTGTTAGTTTTTTTAAATGGACAATTTTGTGCCCAAAAAATTTAACCTGTATGTCTGGGACAGCTTTTTTTTCCCTACTCCCAGAGTCTATACGGATGGTCTTTCATACGCTGAGGTTATAACCAAATTTTCTGGTATCGATAGGTTTCCATTCTCTTTTACGCATGAGGCTCCGCTGCATGTACTATGCACACATGTACACTCCACTATAAAATGACCACTTGAGACGTGATCTTACTCATGGTAGAAAACAGGTAATCTGAGACCACAAAACTCTGAAAGACAATGCACAAGTTTTGTTCTCGTAGGGAAAACATGACATTACAGAAACTGTAACTCAGAAATTGTGCACAATTAATTCTTTCTGTGGTCTTACTCTCAAGAGTACAATAGAGTATCCAGAGAAAAGTTATTAATACAGCAAGAAAAGAACAAAAGAAAAACAACTCGGCAGGATTCAACATTATCATTTTGTCCTTTTCTTGTGACACAATGACCCGGCACAATGATAATGTTGCAAATATGTAAATAATGCTATCGCAGCATCACTCAGCCACACACTGTTAACAAAGCTCTTTATATAATACACACTTCTTTTATTGATTTTTCTCGCCATGAATGATCACACATTTATTACATTTTTAATGACTGGGTCTCTACCATCCACTTTGTCGTATTATCGCTACAAAAATCAGTCACAAAATAAGTTACACATAACAAGATATTGTATGTCTACCATCTGATCTAATGAGGAGAATGTTTCAACCTTTGGTTTCAAGTAAATATCTACACCTTTCTAAAATAAATTCAACTTCTTAAATGCAAATCCATGCATGCATCCTGGTCAAAAAAGGTTTTCAAGAATAGAGAGGTCTATTTAAAGTTCAGAATTAGCTTTTTTTATTCCAGTTCAATACAGTATGAATCAATGAAACAAAATGTTCAAAACTAAGATCATCAGCTTAGCATCAAGGAACCAACAACAACCTGAAAAGAAGGGCAGGGAAATATATATTTTTCTCCTTGATTATTCTGACATGTTTAATTAATTTTTTAAAAAATTACTATCACAGAGTGAGGAAAACAAATCCAAAGCAATCATAAAGTACCAGCAAAGGAACAAGCTTGATCTCCTGTTAAATGTCATGAATGAGGACAACTAACTAAATTTAGTTTGCATAACTAGAGAACGAATATGACTGAGTTAGAAAAATAAAAAGTTCTTGTTAGGAGTTAGCTGATGTTTCCTCAATTTTTACCGGTACCTACTGCTACCTTAGTGTAATCAATATTGTTACCCAACAATATAATGACAGATAAAAATATTTCCTCCTTCATAAAAATATCTTATGTACAATATCATTTATTCAAAAAGGCACTTATTTCTTCTAATAAAATGTGTCAAAAATAAATAACGTACGAAACCGTAAAAGAGACCTAAAACTGAATCAATGAAACAAAACTTACTAGAAATGAATAATTTGTGAGATAATTTTCAACTGACTGGTGTGTAACTGTACACTATACACTGCTTGAGATATTTCTGTCTATTTTAATAGGTTGAATTTTAAAAGATCCTATTTAAAACAATGAAACAGACTTTCCATCTACAAATTTATGTAAAATAGTTCTAATGGTTTTGAATCAGACTCGATTTTGGTTAAAAAAACAAGTGATATTATTTGAGAACATCATGCTAAGAAAACCCAGGTTTTCTGCAAAATTCATTACACTGTTTTTGAATGCCATTTAAATGTAATCTACCCCATAACTGTCTTGCAAACTTATATTATGACAAGGAGTTTCCCACAAATTGTGATAATGAATGAATGTTGCAGAGAAGGCTTCTTCAGAAACTTCACACTTCACTTTACTTATCTTACAAACTNTAATCAATATTGTTACCCAACAATATAATGACAGATAAAAATATTTCCTCCTTCATAAAAATATCTTATGTACAATATCATTTATTCAAAAAGGCACTTATTTCTTCTAATAAAATGTGTCAAAAATAAATAACGTACGAAACCGTAAAAGAGACCTAAAACTGAATCAATGAAACAAAACTTACTAGAAATGAATAATTTGTGAGATAATTTTCAACTGACTGGTGTGTAACTGTACACTATACACTGCTTGAGATATTTCTGTCTATTTTAATAGGTTGAATTTTAAAAGATCCTATTTAAAACAATGAAACAGACTTTCCATCTACAAATTTATGTAAAATAGTTCTAATGGTTTTGAATCAGACTCGATTTTGGTTAAAAAAACAAGTGATATTATTTGAGAACATCATGCTAAGAAAACCCAGGTTTTCTGCAAAATTCATTACACTGTTTTTGAATGCCATTTAAATGTAATCTACCCCATAACTGTCTTGCAAACTTATATTATGACAAGGAGTTTCCCACAAATTGTGATAATGAATGAATGTTGCAGAGAAGGCTTCTTCAGAAACTTCACACTTCACTTTACTTATCTTACAAACTCCATGCCCTACAATAAATTTTTTCAATATTCTATTTTGAAGAGTTAAGTCTTTGGAAGAGCTGTCAGCTGTTGGACAACAGAGTTATGATAGAAGCCCTTGCTTCCTTGAGGGATGACTTTGAGGACCAAGTAAGTCTATGGAAAACTTGTCTCTTCATCAGAAACCATGACCACCACCTCGTTTTGAATGATTATCAATTGCAGGCAAAGTATAAGGACCAAAGTTTTGGCTTGCTTGATTCTAAAAAATATAAATTAAAGAACACTAATTATTGAGAGTTATCTATGAGGTAATTCATGTGTTAACATTTAATTTGGTCATAGAAACTGTACTAATAAGGTCTGTTAATTAGAACCTTGTTTAGAACAACAGACAAAAATTAATACATGCTCTGCTCCTTCTCTAAGAAAATTTACAAAGATTGTACAAGCTGCTGTTTAGGTCAAAGAGACAAAAACACCATACTCATGCCACTGTCCTGCAGCTCAGTAGGCCTGCAGGCATGCCATCCCTGATAAGGACGTGGATATGTGACAGGTTGAAATTATATTCAGGTTAGAATTTTTAACGTCAGTTGATTCTCAATTTCCTTTCACTCTAGGCCTAATTAATGAATAACTAGGGCTAGCAAACAAAGGAATAATATTGAGATTCAATCACTGTAGGTTGAAAATTTCAATCTGAATTTAATTTTGACCTGTACCAGATACACCCTGCAGAGGGCTTTTTCGCCATTAACAAGCAGTCCGAAAGCTATAGCTATTTTGCAGCAAATATGCATGCAATTGCTAAACTGTTTTTCCCTTTGCCATTTGAAGTGCATTTAAGGTTATTCCTTCAATACTTTTATAACTTGCTCATGATAAGTATAATACCTTGACTTTATTTTTCTCCTGGTTGATGATGGAAGGAAAAGATGTTGGGAAAGTTGTTTTATGTGTTGTTGTTGTTGCCACAGGTATTTTTGGAAGTGTAGTGCCATATGTGCTGTGCTTGTTGTATCCTATACCTAAAGCTGGTAATGTGGATTGACCATATCCAACTTTGCCACCTGCTGCTGTTATGCCACCATATCCTTCATCTTTGGAAACAACAGACTAAAAAAACATATTAGACACTTAAAAATTATGAACATTTATATGGCATAACTGGAGTAGATCTTCAAGTTATTCATACAACATGAGATCAGGGACGTTTAGCAACATATATTGATAGTAGTTTTAAACAATACTGAAAGAGCAGACTACCCATTGAATTTTTTTCACTAATAATTTGTTGGACTAACACTTCCCTTAATCCAGGCTTTTCTAAAAATATTTTTTGTAGTAAAGAGCACATGTGTAAGTTTACCTCACTGGGTGAATGTGCATGACTTCGTCCTATCACATGTTTTCTCTAAAGGAAAGAAAATCAAGGAATAAATTTACAGTAATAAGTTAACAAAATTTTAAAAAAATTATTCATTATGTTCCTTTAATAACCATACAAATATGTTCCTGTAACTGAATAATAATGAATGCAAACCGCTGCACCTGACAAAATTTGATTGACTAGCGGTAGTTTAACAAATATTTATTCATGTACTTTAATAATATTCATACCCACCTTTTTCTTTGCTATCCTATGCTGTTTTGAAATGATGGAAGCCTCAGAAGGTGATGACAACCTTGTGTTAGCAGCTTGCCTCTTGTCTTGTTCCCTGAAAGACAAAAAAAAAATGTTTCGAGGCTTATAGCTGAGTGGTCAACATGTCAGATTCACAATCTTGAGGACGTCCCTGCGGCTCCAATCAGTCCTACTATGACCACAAGCTGAATTTGTTTCTTAATCTATGTTTGTAAACAGCTATAAATAACTTGCCTCCTGCCATGAGTTCCATTTTTTAATCCAGCCTAGTTTTTTATATTTGTTTGCATTTATTTCTGAAATACATGTACCTTTCAACCTAGCTTGCTGAGAAGGTAACAAATTATTATTTCAATAATTGCTGAACAGCCTGCATTGATACAAACCTGAGTTGTTTAAAATAGGGATGTCTCAGGGCCTGTTTGGCTGATATTCTACAAAAAGAAGGTAAGAAAAACAATTCCAACTTGAAACTGTAAATTTTACCTCACCATTATATCATTTGGGGATCATTTGAGATTGCACTAACTGCCAGCTCAGCTCAATACTTCCTTGCTAAGATAAGCATCAGAAGTTTTATTTGAAGTCTTGCCTCTATAGCCAGAAATAATGGCAGCAAAAAGGGAAATTTCCCAATTGTGAAGGAAATGAGTCACATTTTAAAACGTCCCAAAATTGTATTATCAGTTTCTAAATAAGTTGCACTTAAGATTGAGAAGATTAATTAATTTCTAATTCATTACCTTTCATCAGGATCATAAGCACACATTTGTTCTATAAGATCAACACACTCTGAAGTCACATGTGGCAGAAGTACTCTTATTCCTGTCCCTGACTTTTGTGGAAAGTTGAAGTTCATGCTGCGTGATTTACTGAAAGACCGAATAGATATGTCATTATTAGTCATTATCATTATAGACAGTTCACAGTCCCCTTTTTTCCATAAGATGCCAACATGCCAGAAACATGTAGCATCGCTTTCGCATGTTACAAACATCTCGTTTCGAAAATGTGATTTCATACAGTTTCTGGGACATTCCTCCAAGTAAAATTGGCAAACATGCACAGTTGAAACATTTTCCTATTTTTCATCAAAGCAGCAAGCATGCTTGCTTCAATACATTAAAATGGTTAAACCTCCAGACAAAGGCCAGGCTTTTCTGACATGGGTCGTCTTTTCTGCATCTTTGTAGCGTTAATTTCAATTCGTTTGGCAGAAACTGTGCTACAACATTCCTCTGGCTGGGCTACTTCAAAAGCATGTTGGCTTACGTGATAATCATCCTCAAAATACCAAAAATCCATCATGTGTTTGCACAAGATGTGCCTGGCAAATTTGTAATAGCATTGAGTTTTGAAAACAATACCTGCGAGGAAAGTAGCAATAATTGGCATTTCAAATGGCCAAACGGTTTTATGTCGCCCTCCTCCATAAAATGTCAATTTATAAGATTCTGCCCTACTCCACGCCAACGGGAAATAACTTCCTTCCCCAGTAATGGTGAAGATCCAAAAGTAAAAAATAGTTGGGTGAACAGGTATTATGAAAGCATACATTTTATAGACACAACGGCTTGTCAATGACTTGTCATGTCAGCAACTTAAACTAAACCTGTTGTCAATGCAAATTAACATCTATTGTCTAATGACGAATCAAACGCCTGCGTTGCTGGTACAACACACTCCTTGAACGTGAGCCGCAGTGATGTTAGGACTGCCTCTCTATTTTTCTCACTTCCTCCCAAACCACCCCCACCCCCTAAGTAGTTTTGACACTCATCCAAGATGGCTGCTTGTAACGCAAAGTGCTCGATTACGACAATCTTATGGAAAAATAGGGGAGTGTCTACTATCATTACAGTGACATCATTTCTATAAACTTAAAACGATGGAAAATATATACAGTTACATGTAGGTCTAACATCCTTACTATTAATAAAATATATACGAAATACAAGAATTAACAGTGAAATGACTAAATCAATCACGATTAGCAGCATATATAAAACTCACTCACTTTTGTAATTTCTTCAGAATGCTTGATGATGGAGTACCTAGGACATCATGAATTCTAGCAATCTGATCAACTTCATTTGAACCAGGAAATAATGGGTGTAAGCTGTAGGGAGTCAAAAGAAAGTAAAAAAAAAATGAAAATAGTTACCTCCTTAAGATCATAAAGAACTAAAAACTCTCTACTTTATTTTACCTTAATATTTCAAAGAAAACACAGCCCACACTCCACATGTCCATCTTGTGGGTATAATAACCATCTGTCAACAAACATTCTGGAGCACGATACCTACAAAGATCATAAAATTAGATATTCTGTATCCACAAGAAAACACATGAATGAAAGGGTTAGATTCAAAACAAATTGTGGACGTCAGTTTATTTCAAATCTATAAAAAGATTTAACGCTAATATTTCTCCCATCAAGACTCAGCGTCTGAAATTAACTTTTTTTGATGTTTTCAACTGGCGACTAAATATGAGTTTTCAGTCACCAGATGGCAAATTGTGGTCGCTAAAAATTTTATTGTATAATACAATGTAAAAAAGCATGTTTTAGACATTTTTATGTTCAAAAAGAGCCCCACTCTGGTCATCAGAAAGGAACGTACGTGTATAATAACATTTCCCGTTTCGTTTTAACAAAACAAATAATTACCTTTTTAAGCAAAAAATTACCCAGCCTACAGTAGATCATCTTTAGCACACTTCAAAAGATCTACAGTTCCACTTTTCATGGCCCAAAAAGTGTCCACATGTTCCACAAAATTCTTGGTAGCTCTAATTTTTCGTCTCCACTTTGCAATGAATTACGAATTTAATATCAGAAAAAGATTGAAGTGTCTTCACAGACACCTTGCCTGAATGAATATTCAAAGCACATGGTATCATCAGCACCAGTGCATATTTCTGAGATAAACTGCATTGCATAATTGCTCTCTGCTCTTGTGGAGGTAGTTTCAGAGGAAGACTTGTTTCAGTTTTTCAAAAAACATCAACAAGTTAAAAAAGTAAGACATTTGTCGGTGAAAGCCACTAAATCATATTTTTAATCAGTTTCTTTGAACGTTAAAGTGAACTATAACAATGCAGATAAAAGTGTAATATGGTAAGTCACCCGCTGGTGAACAGTTGTGGAATTCTGGTTGCCATCATTAAACTTTTATTCACATTGGAGACAGGCAAGGCACAATTTCAGTCCCTGCACAAGTCCTAGCCTATTCCTCATGTAGCTAAGCAATTTGCTCTGATAAAAGGCTAGTGCTTCAAAAGGTTGTTTTTACAATCTTTCATCTACAGTACTAAATTGAGTTCTATCAACAGAATCTGTGTTTTGCAAGAAAGTAAGTGACAAAGCCTTGAAAAAAGTGATTGGTCAACCCAATATTATTATATGGATTATTTGATAAAATAATACTAAACACATTCATACCAAAAAAAATTAAAGAGAAAAGCCTGTCTTTACTGAACCTAACATTTCCTTATAGTTTACTCACTATGATCACACTATTTGTTATGATATTAATTCATGATTTTCATACTATTTAAGCTATATATATATGCTACACAGTCAACTGAGGGCCAACAACTTTGCAAAAGACTTAATAACAGAAAACAAGATAATCAGGATGTTAAAAGATAAGGTTATACAGTGAATGATCATGAATACACCCCAACATACCATCGTGTTGATATATACTCTGTGTATGGTTGCTTTGAGTAAACACCTCGACATGAGCCAAAGTCAGCAAGTTTCACAACATCGTCCTTAAAATAAAATGTCAAAAAGCATAGATTTTTACTTATTTCAGATGAAACACTTCAGAAATTACGAATAATTATGTAGGTGAAATTTGGTTTTAAGTTAAACAAGCTCTTACTATGCAAGTTTACTCCTAAAAAAATCCATACATCTAAATGCACTCAGAACTGTCATGATAGTGCTCTGTTCTCATTCTTAAATCACTGGTTGTTATTGCTATAAAAACAACGACAACAATTTAGAGAACAATAAACATACCTTGATCAAAATATTTTCTGGCTTCACATCACGATGAAATATTCCATTCCTGAAAAAAGATATTAATTAAATCACATTAATGAATCTTAAAAATTACACATTATTCTGACTAGTTTCTTGCACATATTTTGGGATCGTAATGACAGTGAACAAATCAACAGTAAAGTGAATTTATGTCCTTTAATTCATCTACAGACATAGAAACAAAGAAAATAGGAGATGTTTGCAAACAGGCAACAATGTGACTATTTAAATTTGCTCAATTTGTCACATAAAATTATGGCCCCGTTGACTTTTTGTGGAGTTGAATATTGTAAGGGACGGTCCAACCTCTTAGATTAAAAAGAGAAAGGACAATATGGTTCATTTGTCATTATGAGTTCTTGTCCATGTAACACAAGAAAATTTCATGTAACCATGCAAAGGATACCACAAAATGTACCCAAAACTGTAATTTTCATAGTAAATTTAGTCGCAGGGCAAGTCAGTGAGTGACTATAATAAGCAGTCCTAATCTCATGCAGCTCGCAAAAAACCACCTACCTATGCATGTGATCTATTGATTTACAGAGCTGATACATGTATTGCTTAACTCTGGCTTCAGGTAAATAATGCCGTCGTCCTAAAGGCAAAAATAAAGACTTAGGATTTTATGCTCTTCTCTGAACATAATAGATCCTGCATTAAACTAGCTTACACTAAACAATTGACATCGGGTGAATTCACTTGGTGCATTTCCTTGTTGGAATTTATGGTTGCTTTTAAGCTTGAAAGCAAATGAAAAAATTCTGGCAAGCAAATGCAATGGATATATGCTTATGTCGCAAATGACATGCAAAACAGCATGTTAACAATATTGTACAATGCTTCCATACCTCGAATCATTTCATATAAATTCATGTCCATCAGTTCACATATTAATGCCAACTTTCCATTTCCTTTGTCACTGAATGTTGAAAGGGTAAAAAACATGTTAAATTAGTGTTTTTATTTCACAGCAAGATATACCCCACCAATAAACTATTGCAACAAAGCAGCTACTCTTAAAGATGTCATGTACAACATACCAAGGCATATTTATGAGTCAATAAATTGAGGGTAAAAAGGTTAATACTGTTCTCAAGTTAAATAGCAATTTTTAAAAGCAGAAAGTGATTAGATGGAAGTGGGATCATAACCATGACTTATTGATGTCACACCTGCCTAAGGCAAAAATGTAAACAAGTGAATAAAGTAAACAAACAAACACCGCCTGCTTTAAATATGTTTTACTTTTAGGGAGCAATAAATGATTGCAGTTTTAATTTTACAGCAGAATTTATTAACACTGCATGACACTTAAGCATAACCTTTGCGGCAAAACAAAAAAGGTTTGAAATGAACAATTCTGTCTAGATATATTAACCTCGTTAATAATTGATTTAATGATGAAAAAGGTTATCAATATCCGGACGGACGGATGAGATTATATTCACTTTCAACTAAGAATTAAGCGTTTATGCTAAGCTTTAGTAGCTACTTACAAAATAATCTCTTTCAGTTCAATGACATTTCCATGGGGATTTAACCGCCTCATAGCTTGAATTTCTCTCAGATTATTAACTTGGTCGATACTGAAATCAAAAAAGAAAGAACACTCCAGTTGTAATGTACATCAAGTGAAAAACACAGACCTTTCACGTATGACAGCACACAGTTTAGCGAAAACACAAGAAATCAACGCGCTTACTCTGATCAAACAGGATTGACATTCTCACCTTTCATACCGCTGTTTCATCTTCTTGCAAGCAAAATAATTCCCATCTCGAACGTCCTGAACTTTTAGGACTTCCGAGAAAGTTCCCTCTCCTTTCTTCCCAAGGATACGGTATTCTTTAGGAGAAAAAGAAAACCATCATTACACATATTGAGGAACAAACACGCGCTTCGAACGCCGTAAAGCACGTCACAGAAAAACCTTCCATCTCTGCTCTTACTCTGCATAGCTTTCCCGCGAATCTACAGGTTCATTGTTTGTCAAAATATTGTGTATATTGCCCACAGAAACCGTTAGGGGAAGGCGTAAAAATGATAAAGTTATCACTTAAATTTGGAAATGCCGATAATGCTCTCCATTAGTTATTGTTTGTTCTTTCTTCCACTGAGCTTGCGTGCAAAAATGTTGCTATAGAAACAAATGTAAACCATCGTCACAGGTCACCCAAGGATCATGGATAACGCTAAAAAGGAAAGCTATTTGAACAAACGATCCATCAATTTGGAATCAGTTTCTAATGATTTGAAATCAAGAAGCAGGAAATTAAAAACGCCACAAGCAAATTATCATTCGTTGCAAATTTTTCTTCCTTTTCCTTGCCGACAGCCCACCACGAGACCTGCAAATAACTGCTTACAAGTTAACAAGATTAGAAGACGCAACAACACAATCACATGCCTTGGACTACCTAATAACTGAACTCGAAATACGCACAGCGGCTAACAAACTCAAAAACAACAAATCTTCGTATTCAGATAGAATAAAAAATGAAATGATCAAATCCAGCTTAAATGAACTAATGCCTATTTATTTGAAGTTATTTAACGCTGTTCTGACGTCAGGCACTATGCCTCAAACATGGTGCGGTGGCCTTATAACACCAATTTTTAAAAGTGGGACTAAAAGTGATCCCTCAAATTATCGAGGAATTTGTATTTCTAGTTGTCTTGGGAAACTATTTTGCTCAATTCTCAATCATAGACTTCTCAAGCACATTCAGTCGCGTAACATACTTCATAAATCTCAAATAGGTTTCTTAGCAAATAATCGAACCGCTGACCATGTTCTTACACTACGAACATTAATTGACAAATACGTTAACTGTCACAAAACGAAAGTATACGCATGTTTCTTATTATTTCTGTCACTCTTCCTTCCGTAAGGATCAGTTCACTGTGTTAAATTTAAAATTTGGTACTCAAGATTTTACTGATCCAGGTCTACTAAAGATCCAGCGGACCCTCAATGGTTTGTCGTTGTGGTTTTGCCTTCACAAGTGTTTTAGGTCTTACTTATATTAGTTGTAGATAGTTTTGCATATTGTTTAGGATAGTTAGGTTTATTTATTTACTTATTTTACATATATATATATACTCCTGATGAATTTTACTGTGTTTAAATAACGAATTATGCTATTCAATTCTATTCCCTTCCCTGCCTGGCATTTTTAACTCTTAGGTTATTTCGGGCAGCCAGCGCCCCTATCATCGTCTGTACTATTGTTATAAATTTTTATTTCTTGTATATTATGGGGTGAAATAAAGTGTTGTTGTTGTTGTTGTTGTTAGTCCCCCGAGGTAGCGCCGCCCCTGTCGAGTCCCACCCTTAGTCCCCGACCCCCTTAACTAAAAAGGACCTTAACTAAACTGGACTTTTTAAAAAAACAATATAATATTCTGTTGTAACTCCAAAATTTTGTAAAAGCATTGTTTGCAATTTCTCTTGGGGCGATTGTAAGCCCCAAGAGAAATTGAAAGCAATGCTTATGCAAAATTTTGGAATTACAACAAAGATTATTATGTTATTTGAAGAAGGCCTATGACCCAAGGTTTTCATTTGTCAACCGAGCTACTAAGGAGAATTCAAAACCACTTTGAAAGACTTTACAAAGTTGGCATTGTCAAATCTATTTTAGTTGATACTACAATGATAGTACTTGAAAAATGCTCAACTATAAGTTGAAAAGTAATGGTGATCGAGTTTTTTTTTTTTTTTCAGCAAAAGTGAGTAAAGCAGCGTCATAACCTGTTATTATCTTGTCTTTTTTTAAACTGTATATATGCTTGTAACTCAAACACGAGTTCAATGATCATGAGTCCCACTGTGTTAATAAATCGCAATGAAATTTTCAAGAACAAATTTTCACATAGTAAACAAAACCATTTAAAAGTGGGTTCGTAGCCAGTAACGTAGCTATGAACCTTCAAGTTGGAATCTTTCGGAAAGTTTGCGAAAAATTGAAACCTGACATGCTGATTGCAATAATGGGTGTCATCGAACTACTTTACCTGTATTATGCACATATTAAAGCAAAAATCAAGGATGTTTTTAACAGGTTAATTACACTATTGCTAAGGCAGTCTCTCATGACTTGTTTTGTAACCATTGAGCAACTTTGATCTTATTACTGGAGCATCAACTAAATAAGAGTCGTAGCATTGATCTTTAGTAAGTAAAATAAACATTTGCCTTCAGTGGTCAAAGGATTTGATTTGGCGAATGGCTAGCTGTCAAAATGCCAACTTTGTAACACCCTTATTTGGTTTTAAATTCACCTCAGTTGTTCAGTTGAAGTGGCGGATCTAGGGGAGGGGCCGGGGGGCCCGCCCCCCCGTAATTTTAGAGCAAACTGAGGACAAAGAGTTGAAAAATTGTTTGGGGGGAGACTGCCTCACCCCACCTTATCTCAGGATCTGGATGACCGCCCCCACCCCCCCCTTTTCTGAAGGTCAATCCGCCACTGAGTTGACAAATAAAAATTTCGGGTGATTTAATATCCCACTGCTGTTTAGAAACTAACATTCACTTACCTGGTGGTCCACTCACCTTTCTTATGCCTTCTGCTGTTGTTAAGTTAATTAACAAATTTAACTTATAAAGTACATTTTAAATTTTCACGCTAAATTAAATCCAGATGAATATTTAAAGGAGGGATCTTGAAGAGCAATTGTCTTCTCGCACTTGCTTTGAAACTTGACTTTAGCTCTTACGACATCAGTGAATAGCTAGCGCAAAACACTAATGTTTTCCGACAAACTAAAAAATAAACTTGCTTTTGAATTTCAGGATAATTTGGAAGACAAATTGCACCTTCCATGGCCAGCTCTAAGGATGATATAGACATGTGGGAAAACGTGGTAGCCGTCGTCATTCTACTACGAGTTTTAGCGCGAATGTCGTGGTGGCGAAAACAAGATATCAAATGTTAGAAGTTATATAATTTTGCGATCGGGAGAGCACGTAACCTCCTTCACTGAAAATAACAGTGCTAACTTTTCGAGTGAAAAATGGTCAAATGACGCTTTCCGGGAAGTCTATATTTTGAGAATACGCGAAACAACTTTAAACCAAATCTCGCGCTCATAGTCGTCCTCGTCATGTGTAGCATTTGTGACGCAATTTGTTAGCCCAGTCATCGCTGGGCCCGCTGGATAGTGTATCCACCGGGGTACCCAGGGTTAATGCGATGATTGGATACTCTAAAAAGAATAGAGAAGATTATCCGAGAGTGCTTTTGATAAAAAGAAAATGAACCCCAGGTTAAAGTTTAACCCTGGGTTAGCGCTAACTGGGGTTCAAACAGCTGGGCCTGTATAAATCCCTATCCAGCAGATAAGTGTTAGGAAAACCAATTGTGTTATCCACTAGATAGAGAGTTGATCCAGCGCATAGGGGTATCCACCTTTTGAACAACTGGGGCCAGAAGTTTTACTCTGGCTAATTCGAACATTATTATCTAGAATTACTGTGAAATGATAGATTAATAAAACCACGGGAAGTGTAGACAGAAGATAATAAAAAGGACGTAACATAAACATAGAGGTTATCACCGGTGGTGTGAAAAAATCTTAGCTACCAAATATGGCATGAAAGAGAAAATCATCACAGCCGAATCCTAGCAGGCGCTTACAAGTAATATGGGCGCAAGAAAGAACATGGCGCTCCAGGCATAATACTTAAAAGCGCCTGCTACGTAGGCTGATCTTTGCACAGATACCTCTAACCTCAACCCAATCCTGCCAGATTTATACACTGAAAACCTGCTGACAGTTTTAGGGAAAATCAACGGCCAATAACGCTATTCACCTATTACTCATTCCAGATAAAAAGGAAAGGCTGGTAAAAAATATTTTCGTATTCCAACTGAAGGCTTAAAACTAGAAGTATGACTGAGATGGTTTGTAATAAGATAACAAAGTTTTAACTGGCCCTCAGACAGAGTCGGATATGTATTTGACTGCATGATCGAAGAATTAGGCAGCTTCATGGATAACAATCTGAACAATTTATTGCATAAACTGAAAGGATGACATTAACTAGTCACAAAGGTAATCTGTTTCTCCACAGTGACCAATTTACATTACACTCAACGGTTGATACGATTGCTGGTAATTTATGAATCGACCATGAAAGTCGGCTGGTCTTCGAGGATTACACGGGGCGTATAAACACTATCTCCTGCTCAGCTAAGGCGAAATGAAGAACATTAGAATAAATATGCAGCAAAACTATGACTTCAACTTTATTGCTTCAAATACATCTTACAATTCGTACTTATATTCTATAACAATTTATGTCATGAGAGAGTCTTTAGAGAAGTTACGACCACCTTGGTTGATGGATCTTGATGGAAAGACAGATGGAAAGATAAAATAATGCACGAACAACAAAAACAAACAAACAAACACTTATGGAAATATAGAGAGCGGACATCTAACGCAAATTCGTGTTGAACTAATTGGCCTCTCAGAGTAGACATTAGAACTGAAAATTTGTGCAAAACATGATAACCATCATCATAACCGAGTACCAAACGCTGTATCATTCAGAAAGTGTAAAGCCGGCACTGAATCGCTTACGCGTTATATAGAAACTGAATGGAAAATTACTGACTTGAGACTGACTGGTTCTTTCGACTTATCAAAAACTTTACTTGACTCTCTTATCAGTCTGTTCAAGGCTTTCTGATATAAAGAACGATCCGAGACGGTTTGTTACGGGTTATAAGGTAGAAAGCTAGACCAACTGACAAAGGGTTCCCGAGGGTATCCCGGGGGTTAGTACATTATGTTTATTGGCACGACATCAGAGGACATAATACTGAGCCTGTGTCAGTTGTTCTTGGACATATCAAATACATGTTTTACACTAGTTAGTAAGTCTCACTGGCAGCCAGTCCCCGGTGGACTGTTACTCGCACCACATGATACTGAGCAGCATCAGTTGTTCGTGGTCATATCAAATACATGTTTTGCACTAGTTAGTAAGTCTCACTGGCAGCCAGTCCCCGGTGGACTGTTACTCGCACCACATAATACTGAGCAGCATCAGTTGTTCGTGATCATATCCAATACATGTTTTGCACTAGTGAGTCTCACCGGCAGCCAGTCCCCGGCAGACTCTTCTGAACAGGTACTGAAGTGACTGAGGTAGGTACCATGCCAGCGCAACGTTTTTCTCTTGCAGCACAATAACGATTTATTCTATTCTTGTACTTAATGTATATTTTACTTCGTCTATGGCACGAATATCTCAGTACTGAGAATATTAAACTTTATAGGTATTAATTATCGGCAGCTGTATTGGACTGAGTTTGCACTGCCAACTCGTTGCCTCTTGCGGGATTGTAACGAGTCAAAAAAGTCCCTTATGTCTTCTTCTTTCACCACCTAAAAATAAAAATATAGTCGAACTTCCACTAACGGCCACCTCCCTACAACGGCCACTTTTTTAGTGGACAGTCCATACAGTGACTCTTATTTAAACCTCTCTAACAACGGCCACTTTTTTCTGTCCAAAGGTGGCCGTTGAGGAATGTTCGACTGCAAAACCAATAGCTTTCTTTTCTTTCCATTTCTATACCCTCCCTTCTGCATTTCTTCCCTTTTGCTGCTTGGCTTTTACCAAGTGTTGTCCCCGTAGCAAAAGTTTTCGAAAATTTAATGGAGACTTGGTAAGGAAGTACCTGTGTGTCGTGAAATAATATCTTCATTGAAATTATTTTATCACTATCAAATGTGAACTTTTTCTGCATCCATCTCTGATCTTATTTGTGGAAATGTCTCAAAGTTGAGCTTGTTGGGAAGACTTCTTTCTGCAGACAAGTTGTGAATCGGAGAGTCCCCTTTTACATTGAAGCTAATGACGTTATAAGTGCTACAAGGATCGTCGGTTTCGGGCATTCACAGAACTATTTACGGTGTAAACACGATAATGTTTGAAACTTGCTTCATTATTTTCTTGCCCAAGACGATGTTGTAAAAAATGTTTCACAATCAAGGGGACCCGGCAAGCATTTTTAACTAAGAATACTAACTTATTTTCAGTGACTTCACTGACCTTTCCTTGAGCTGCAAAATCTCTTAGGAACTCCGTCAGTTCACTTTTCATGTCATTATATTCTGCAAAATAACAGTGAGAATCAGCAAGATCGAGTTAAAAATCACTGTATGGGACAAGACAACAGTTTTTTTTTTCACTGGTCAAGATCAGGTTTTTGTTCACCCACCGAGGCAACTGGTGTCAATAATAATGCACTAAAAATAATCCTTGAATACATAAGAGAAACAAACTTCAGTTACTGTTTCGTGTCCACTTAAGAGCACAATGCAAATTAACAGAAGATGTTGACGAAAGGAGTCACAAGATAAGTCAATGAAAACTTAAAACTAGTTCACAAAAAACTTACGTTGGACAAACCATCACTGAGTTTAGCACAGTGCTGAGCAAATGCCTTTCACGTTTTGTAGCCTAAATTTAGCATACAGCAACTGACAAAGTCATCCAATTTTAGGTTTCGAAAATTTCTAAATGGGCATAAGTTAACGCAGACATAGAAATAAAATTCTGTTGGAATAACGCCAAATGTGTGGTTAGGTCAGTAAAGATATGTATCATTAACATGCACCAACAGTAATACATTCATAGAAGGGTATAAAATTATATGAAACTACTGCAGTTTAATTACCATGTAGAACCTCCACTTGGGGAATGCGACCCATGTTCTGAAGGGCATTCATTCCACTCTCATATGACGAAACACTCGGTCTCTTTTGTCTTCCTCTCTCTTCATATGCTATCATAGTGTCTGATTCATCAGTGAGGTACAGCACATCCAGTGACTTGTATAATGACTATCACATAAAAACAAAACAAATTGTCATTAAATGAATAATGCATGGCGGCAACAGCACCCTGAGATTATTTAATCAGTTATAAATGTTAATAGCTGTCATCTATTGGATAGAAATAAAGCCACATGTTGTGTTGTTTCTCTAAGGCGGGAAGAACAAATCAGAATATCACGCTTACCATGCATTTATCACATTTGCAAAGGTTTGATCTCCACCCTACATGCCAATAAGTTGCTCTACTCTCAATGGAAGTCACAGCATCTTGCAGTTGAGCAACCTTACAGTCTTTAACAGTTTGGGTTTCTGATTTCACCCCATTGTGGGTAGGTTCAGATGTAGCTTCTTCTTTTCTGATTTGATCCAAAGAATCAGGTGTCTGGGAAACACAGGGCTCACTTCCACTGGAATCTCGCTAAACGAGGTACAAAAAACTAAACATGAACTTGGCTTCAAGATTTAAACAAGAACCTCTTCATATTGGAAAAGATATTTGATTATGCAATGAAACCTTATCTTTTCCTACTTTGTTGATATAACCAGATTTTTACATCTCTTGGAGGTCACATGGGCAAGACTCTATATTGATTGCTGCCTGTACCTGCTGCGTTGCCAAGTCACTCGTCTCCTGTTGACTTTTTTCAGCTTCATGAGTGGCGTTGTCACTGTTGGTTTCAGCTTTGTTTCCTTCTCCTGACTTGTTGCCGGGTTGCAGTTGAACTTTAGGTTTTGCCTCTGTCTCTGACTTGATGACTTGCTGACTTGAGGCAATTGAAGTTTGCTGGGATGGGACTGTTGCAACAATAAAGGGAAAAAAACATGCACTTTGATTACATTGAGAGTAATATTTCAACTTGCCTGCAAACTCTGTCCAGATAAATCAGAAAGGCAAACACTATTAAACAAATCAACAACAAACATTCACTACAACACAATGGGAACAAACAACTTAATCATTTTTTTAATATTAGAATTTATACTTGTATGAATATATTAGTATATGTATACCACATTTTAATAAAGGGTTTATAACAGTTACTGTTATGCTATGTTGGTAGGGGACCAAAACACAAAAATATTGTTTTATCAATAATATTGAAAAAAAGTGAACGCCATAATATAACAGAAAGCTGGCCTTTTGAGTGCTAACCCTTAACAGAAAGAATCAAGGAATTTTGGTTTATGTGTAGTTTGAGTAGAAGAGTGGGGCTGAGCTATTGATGGGAACATGGAAACACGAAAAACAACATCAAAATTAGTTCCACAAAAGCATCCATTCAGTTCATGGGGATTTAGAATGCCAATATGAAAGACAAATACAGTCGAACCTCTCCACAACAGCCACCTTGAGGACAGAAGAAAGTGGCCGCTATGGGCAGGTAAGGCCACATTACACATTACAACATCTTTATTGTGCCAGCTCATGCTTACTATATCCCATACTAAAAGGTAACCCACTCATAAATAATATATATTATACACAAAAAGGTTTAATTATTTTTAAAAATGTTAACATGACAAAAGTAGCAAGTTTTGCAACATCTGCTATGGGCATTGTAGGCAATTTATATTTACTGCAGCAGTAAATGAAACAAAGTCAAACTATGATTGCTGCGATTAATCATCAACGTGCCATAAGGAATATTTCATGACTTGATTGCTGACTTTTTCATCAGTTGCTGAAAAACCTGGCCATTGTCGAAAGGTTATTTTGGCAGTTGGGGACACGCTTTAGTGGCCCTTGCCGTTGGGTGGCTGTTGTAAGAGTATGGACTGTCTGTCGAAACAAAATAAAATGGCCATTTGTAGATAGGTGGCGGTGGCCACATGTGAAGAGGTGGCCGCTAGTGGAGGTTTGACTGTATTAAAGAGGTATTGATACAAAGGCCTCAATACAAAGGCCTTTATTCAAGCTTAATGTTAAAAATACATGTATATTTTTGTTCTTGATTTTTGTGGCTTCCTGTGTTACTTTGGTTAAGAAAGAGACCACAGACTGCCATCTGTTTAGCCAGAATGATTCAGAAAATCAAAATGCAATGGGATTATAACAATAATATCAATATCAAATGATTTAATATAAAGTGCCAAAATCCATAAGTTCAATGGTGCTTTTATACAAAAAACCATTTAAAAACCCAAAAGATAAAAATAATAAACATATAAAATCATAAAAATTAAACAAAAAGTTAAAAAATATAGATAAATTTGTATATAAAATTCATGCATAGAAAGCTTGCTTAAAAAGAGGAGTTTTAAAAGAGATTTAAAATTGCCTATCAATTTTGCTTGTCTTAAGTGATCCAGTAGAGAATTCCACAAATTATGGAGGCAGCAACACAAAGGGCTCTTCATCCACAGCCCTCCAGTTTATTTTTCAGGGTGGACAATAAGCTTTTGAACTTAGAGCGTAAACACATCACGAGGTCATAGAATTTGAGGACATCAATCTAATAAGAAGGTGCTACACCATGCATTGTCTTGTATGTTAACAATAAAACAGGCAACCATTGCAAATCAATTAAAACCGGCAGAATGTGAACATGATTGTATACACCTGCCCACTTCCCACATAAGCTTGCATAACATGGCTAAAAGAGTTACAGCCAAAAAAACATTTTCAGAAGGCCAAGCCACTTTACCTGACAGAGGGAGGTACCCTTGAAGAAAGCTACACCTACTCATGCAGTCATCACAAATCATCTCTTGAAAGTCGCCATCAGGTGGAGGAAGACTTCCCAGGTGCTAAAGGAAAATAATTGAAAAGAATAATTATGACACTCCACTACACTGTTAACTCATCATTATTATTATTATTATTATTATTACCATTGTTGATAACAAAACTAACTATTAAAACCTATTTTTTTTTCTTCTTCAGCGAAATTAATAATTAATTTCGCTGAAGAAGAAAAAAAATTTCAGTCAAAGCACTATTTACAAGTCATTTCATTTCATAAGCTCCTGTTCATTTCGATTAAAAAAAAATTCATTTCAGTTAAAAAAAAAAGAAAACAAAAAACTCATTTCTATTAAAAACAATTCATCTTGATTAAAAATGAAATAAAAAGATTAAGAAGATCCTAAAATACTAATAGCGTTTAAGTGGCAGTCATCAATGAAATCCCCTTGTGGAAATTTGTGGAAGGGTGTCCTGGAACCTCTTACACAAGTGTACCAACCTTAAAATCTCAAAAGAAAGCAATGTTCTAATCCAAGTAATAGCAATGTGATAAGGTTCCTCATTCTTTTCTGAGAGCTTCTCGGCTAGGCGTTTGAGAAAGCAGTTGCAGTCGGCTCCCATCCCACCCTTGGTTCCAAAAACTACGGAAGTGAAAGATCCCATTTCAACGTCCAGGACCCTCTGTTGGTACTTCCGCTTTTTCTCCTCCTCCTGCTCCTTACAGATTGTGGTTGTTGTTTTTCTCTGGTTACACTTGGAGTTAACATGCGTTACTCTGACATCAAAAAATGCTGTAACTCCAAGATACCAAAAGCCCCCTGCCTTGAAGTCCAGTCTTGCCTGCGGGCTTGTTACCGCTCTTGTTGTAGTTGTGGTTCGACTTCAACGTTGGTGCAAACCTTACCAATAAGTGAGGTAAGTAGGTTGCGAACACCATCGTGTCTCTGCGCCACGAACCCTCCCTTTTTGCATGACAGGGTATGGCAGACGGTATACTTCTCACCACAAACACACTTGCTTGGTAAGTCAGACGGGGGCATATTATACCTTAAACACAGAGAGTCTCTGAATTTTTGTTTATTCAGCACCAAGCCTTGATCAACAATTATTATTATTATTATTATTCTTGTTGTTATTATTCTCATTAAACACAGCTTCTGGATGGCTTGCCAGAGTCTTCCTTAAACATCAAGTCACCAGGTGGTGGTGGTAGGTGTCTAAGACTTTGCAAAGGATTCTGGATGTACCCAGTAAGCATGCTTTATGCAATGATTCTAAATGATCAGTGACACCAATCTCTGATGCTAATCACTTCTCTTTGTCTTTGAAGACAGTTCTTAATGCACCAATTATGATTGGCACCAGAGTTACTCTGCGCAATTTCCAGATCCATTTCAATTCCCACTTCAGGTCTTGGAAGTTCTCAATTTTCTCTTTATCTTTCACCAAGGTGTTAAACAGACAAGGAATATCAATAATCAGGCACTTACATTCTATCTTATCCAATACCACAATGTCAGGCTTGTTGTGTTCAATGTTGTTGTCAGTCTGTATTTTGAAGTCCCACAGCAGCTTGTTGTTAGTGGATTCATACACTGATTGTGGCTCATGGTTGTAATACTGAGGTCCCAGTGAATCACCTGCATCACCTTGTCATGCCTCCAACATTGACATCACTTTTGACCAAGCTTGTTGCATTCTGATACAATATGGCTAATTGTCTCATCACTTTCTCTGCAAATTATCCTCTTCATACTATTAGTTCTTAAGGCTTGGTCTTGTGCCGTCATAATCATACCCTCTGTATGACCTTCTTTACTCTGCCCTTTTTCATTCACTCCCAAGTCTTTTAAGTTTTTATCTCTTACCTCTGTTGTGTTCCTCCAAACAAAACAAAGTTGTTTCTCCTGAAAGCGTTCTTTTCTTTCTTGCTGTAATGACGCGGCTTCGCAACTTTTAGCATAACATCTCAGAACCTCTTCCTTGTACACTACCTCCAACAGGGGGCTGTTAGCACTCTCAACATACCGGCTAAGACTATTGATCTCACTACTTACTATTGTTATTATGATTTTGATTATTATTATTATTATTATTATTATTATAAGTACCTTGTGACATAAGTTAGTAATAGAATGACTCACATCAACTCTTCTCGAGTAATGCAAATGACTCCAGTACAAAAAAATATATAGCTCTGTGTAACCGAAGGTTGGCTGTTATGATTTGAGCTGATTGATGCACGAGACCATCTACCAATTCTCAAATCCACAAGTTAAAGCCTGACGGGACTCAATATATTATTAATATTAAAGAGTGGTATTTTGGATAAGATTGTACAACAATAAAGAAACTATTTACCCTTGAATGGTACCAGTCCTCACAGATAACACACTGGATCATTTCATCTTCAATCTAGAAAATCATACACAAACAAGAACTTAATTAAAAATATCTACCATAAATATTTAACAATTATTCAACTCGGTTATCGCAAAATATCGTGATTTGTCAGTGGCGAGTTTGTTTTTTTAAGGAATATCTTCAGGAAGAGAAGAAATCTGCTATTTTCACTAAGAGTGATTGCAACAAGGAGAAAAGCATGGTATCATTTAGGCATGAGCAGAATATTATTTGCAGCCAAACAAAGTTGGATGACAGTGCACATGAGCAGACCATTATTTGTAAGCACTTATTTTTAGGTCATGCGGTGAGCTCTCAGCCAATGAAAAGGAAGAAATATTTGCAATGAATAATAAAGTCTTTTAAATACAACTGAAGGATGTGAATAATAATAATAGCCCCTGTGTATCCTGATCTTGAATCAAATTCTTCCTTTGATACACAAGCACATATACAGAATGAATTGAAGAAGAATCGAGAATCAAGTAATGTAATGGAAGTAACTTAGGGTTTTTGTTTCAGGCATTTCTTCAATCACCCAAAGGATTTCCAGCTTTAGGTATGAAACAGTGCTATTTCAGTCAGAAGCCCATGAACACCTGAAATAATTCAGGGATGTTTATTGTATTGGGAGCAATCTTAAAAATGATCAGGACATGCCAGCAACCCACATTAAACCACAAACTAGTTATCATTGATGATTGCAGTTTAGTATAATATTTCACATACCTAATGGCTTTTTCATTCCATTCATTCCAAACAATAATTATTATTTCGGGTTTCCATGGTTTTGTGAGCTTCCCAGTAACCACTGACAGTATCAACATAGTTTAAACAACAATTCTTCTGTTCAAGCATCAATTTTGGCCATAGCAACATCCCATGGTACATTTAAAGCCAAAGATCTATATACAGGGCATTTTCAACTTTTATCACTGAATTTCCTGTTGAATGGTCAACCAATACTAGCAGAAACAGGCTTTGCTGTAATATTTTAAACAACTTCTTACCAGGGATGATACAATTAAGCTTCAATCAAAATACTCATTTGGGAAAATTAAACAAAAATGTAGCTAAATTAATAACTACGTCATAGTCATGAAACTCATGTACATGACCAACAATCTTAACAGTACCTCATCTTCCAGATCAGGATATGGTCTGTGGCAAGTGCAATAAATTCCTTGGAAATTCTGATTGTATTTGTTCTGGGTATTCTCTGGGTCTTTTGACTTAAATGACATAAATAATTCTTGAGTTCATTCATTTGCACATCAGGGTGCAAAGAAAGTCAGTTTTACAGCATGCTATTCGGGCAAGCTGCAGATAGCATGTACTAGCCCACAAGTCATCTTAACTAGCCCCAAAACCCTTTTTGATTAGCAGGATTCATAACAATCCTTCTGTAATTTGAATTTCCCCAAACAACAGCACTTGCCAATCGGGCAAGTTAAGAACAAAAAACACTAGCCCGATAGCAAAATCCACTAGCCCTAGGCTATCGGACACGAATTTCTTTGCACGCTGGACATGACAGTTGTCATCACTTTCTTACCTAATACATTATAAATCAGCGTCAAAGTATAGCTAATGTACGAAAACAACTACTTTCTAAACTACTGCGATATAAAAATAACACCATACTACTATCAAGTGTTATTAGAAAGCTGTCCTGATGTTTGACAAAAGGCAACCTACAGAATATAACTTGCACTTGAATTCTGGAAATTTCTTGTTTCCACAATCACAGCGAAAATTTCTGAAAAAAAGACATAAAAAAAAAAATATGGGAAGCAACACCTTTGTCCTCTTTTTACCAAGAATTTCCTCAAAAGGTGCCTTTATTATTTACCCCAGCAGGGATTTAGCCCAGAACGCGAAATCCCAAGAAGGCACTCTAGTAAATACTTACAGCTGAAATAATTATACAGTCAATATACCAAAAAAATCTTGATTAGCTTGAACAGGGGCTGCATGGACTTGTTGGGTAATGATGACGTTTCTATTGTTTGTGCCCACAAGTAAGAGATGGTTAGGATGACATAAAACAGAAAATCCTGAAGGGACCACTTAGGTAGATTTTGTGACATTTATTGTACAGTCATACTTTGATACTCTTTTGCATTACATCTTATCAGTGACATTCCGTGGAGCAGCTGTTTTGAAAGTTATAGATCAGAAGACACTCGTTACGTCCAGATGAAGTTATAAGGTGCATATACCTATAAACACTTGAAGAGTTTGCCAGACAGAAGTTCACAAATCTTTGATTGGAAACAATTTGCCAGGTACTCTTTCCCTCTCTTTGGGGGAATAACACTTAGTCAACAAACAAGCAAGACGAGCGAATCAGCGGCTAGCTTATCACTACCAATAACGATGGACAATTGCAGAAATTTGCCAACAATTAAATTCTGTGCTGACTTATTCCCTGCAAACAGATGTCCTTCTAAAAGACTATAACGCGCAAGCATGAATTGATCAAACTTTTGAATTTCTACGGCTTAGTTTCTGCCAAATAAAATGAACTAGTGTATGTAAAAAGTGAAAGAGAAATAGCAAAAAAAGTCCAACTTCTAATTAAATCTTCTCTTGTGGTTTAGAATAAGCTTTTCTTGAAACTGAGGATGTTTTGATCAAAGCTGTGTAAATCGAACTGAATCAGCGCATGGAACCTTGCGTTTCCTGTTTTAATCTCACCTGTTGTATGGAACATGTGTGAAAATCTTCATATATGAATCTGCATATTACGAAGAGCAACACAATGACCAAGAATACTATTGACCAACAATATACAGAGCAGGAACAGCTGTAGTGTCAACTATTACTAGTTGTATGAGGTGGAGCAGATGCCCTTTTCTAGTGGGTGTGTCCTGGTTACCGGTAAATGTCAGTTTAGAAAATGATACTCAATCCAAACAGTAAATTACGAATGTGGTTGTGACATCATCTTCCCCTTACCTAGCCACTTCTCTTTTCCCTACCCACAGTCCTAAAACAATGTGAAGAGGAAGGTTTAAGCATTTACCGGTAACTTCTGCATTAGTACCTCTTAGTGTAAAGCTCGAAAAGGGTGTGTCCTTCATGACAGGTCAGCGTACAAGCTAAACAGATTCCTGCAGGTTCTGCATCTGACGGTGAACAGGAACCACATGCGTACAGGGCTTGTCGATTCACATAACCCTACAATTACGCAACAAACCAACAATGTGGCTGAAGACTATTCAAATCAAGGACGGACACACACTTCATCTAGCTACAGGTATAGGTTGGCAAAGGATACACAAATGTGTGATTTTTCCTCACATGTTCAAAGGTTATTCAAGACATTTTCGCTATTTCCCTTTAACAGTAGCGGGGGGTCACATTCACAGAAGCCAGAGGAAAGCCCCAAACCGTGCTTGTTAATGACAGCCCTGCTTTGGGGCAGCACATACCTGTACAGCCAATCACCAGGATATAGGGTATTAATAACCTTGTTCCTAAGTATTTATGTGACTAGTCTCAAATGAGATCATTAGTAAGTACTGGGGTAACACGATCTGTAAACAACCTTAATATTCCCCGTCAGCGTCGTTTTGCCTCGGGGTTAAAATCTGGGGTGGATTAAGCAAGCACCTGAGGACGTTAACTATTTTAGACACTTTAAAACAGTGTATTTTTAGAGAATATTTAAGCAAATCATGTTAATATATGAATTATTATACTTTCATTATATTTATGTAAGTTAAAGATTATTAATATTCTTTTCTACTTGTAATATTGATGCTGAAAAGCCCTTTTAGGGATCAACAATAAATGTATGTATGTATGTATGTATGTATAGGGAATAATCCCTATCTCCACCCATCAACCAGTGATCAATCCCCAAACCAGGAATGCAATATGTACTCTGCAGTGACTTGGAATTCTCTAGTTCGACGTTATAAGCTTCTAAAGAATACACTTTTCACTTTTCGCTTTAATTTTAAAATTGCTAATAATTTTAGCCAATAGACCTTATACTTCTGTGAGCAAACATAAAGAAATGAGGACGAGGCTCAGGTGAACAATTTCATACAAATCACTGTACTTTGTCCACCGGAGCCTCGAGCTGGTGCCTTTGTTTTCAGGAATTGTGGGAAAGGTTTATTTCATTTTTCCGATGACGGAGACTAGAGTTTTAAACACCTTTTATTAATACCTCCTGGTGATAGCACCACAAATTAGTTACGGTGGCATTATTAACATTTATGGTCATAACTGCACATTTCAGCAAAGTTTTATATCACAACTCAAGTCAGTCAGGTTATCATACAAAATTTAAATATGTGGGTCTTACAGCAGGATATGTACAGTGTTGGTCGTCGCTGTCTCCAAGCACGGCTCTCGCTTCCTCTTCGAGCTCGTTATCTTCGTGTAAAACGTCCACCATTGATACGACCTCATCTTCAAACACTCCGGCATCCATCATTCCAGCTTTTGCTTAAAATGGTGGCAGTTTATTCTCACACAATAATAAACGGCACACAAAGAATCAGGACAAAATGGCGGGAAAAATAAGTTATTTGGATGTACTTCGTGTATGACTACCTGATAACTACCTACGTCATATGTACTGTTACCAGTCTTCCTCGAACTGACTGAATGACAGAGTAATGACCCACAAAGGAAAGAATATTGGATATTTTAGGGTATTTAAAGAATACCCACAAAAATCCCAAATTTGGAAGAGTAAGACAAGTCCCAATCAGGGAACTTAGTTGGGAAGATTGGGACTTGGTTGGGAATTTCCTGGTTGGGACTTGTCTCACTTTGCCAAATTTGGGATTTTTATGGATATTCTTTAAATACCCTAAAAATATCCAAAAATGGGAATCCGTTATTTTTTCCTGTGCCAAAAATGAAATAAAACTGTGACAGCGACGAGGATTAGCTCAAATACAACAGTAAAATACCAATAGGGATATTGCTTCCTCCTCAGTACGTGAAACGACAGGTTTTGAAATTCAGACTAGAGATAGGGACGTATGCATGGTACTCTCTTTCCGCCCAACTCCACCCCCATCCCCCTCCCCTACCAGTGAGAGTGAGAGCACCAAAAACTTATACAACGCAGCAGGAGATAGATCTTAAATCATGGGAAACTCGTGAATGCTTTGTTTAGAAAATAGAGTCACGACTCGACATTCAGCGTTCCCCAGGGAACGGTCTTAGGACCGTTACTGTTCTTAATGTGTACAAATGATTTACCTGATGGTCTTAACTCATTGCCGTTAGACTTTTCGCTGATGATGCATTGTTATATGGAACAATCTGTTGTAATGAACACGCACCTGATCTTCAGGATGATCTATATAGATTAGAAGCTTGGCAACAAAAGTGGGAGATGGAATTTAATCCTTCAAAGTGTAAGATCATATGCTTTACAACCAAGAGAGATCCACCAAAGCGGGAATACGTATTCAGTGGAGAAACTCTAGAAGAAGTGGATTCCCACCCTTATCTGGGAGATTTGAAAGTACCAACATTACCTTGGGATCTTGGCTTAAAGACTTTTTTCTTTTTTTGCGACAACGTTTTTTGAAATAGCTGCATTTATTAAAGCAAACAACGTTTCAGCGAAAAATAAGAGAGAAACAGTGTGATATTATGGAGAACAAAAATTTAATCTAGCCAAACTGAAAGCATTTGCTCCGTGGTAAAAGTAAAAAATACACTTTGAGTTGTGATAAACCTGTGACTCCGAACATAATGCGTGACAACCTTATTCCCAAAGTTCTCTCACGAGGTGGCGTGAGTAAATGCACCCTTAAGTTGCCCAAATTACACTTCGGTAACAACGACGTCGCTTTCATATCAGGTGGCGAAGTCTCTCGACTTCCTAACCGAAGATGGTCCACGTCTCAGTGAGTGATTACTTTGCATATCTCAACCGACAGCGATAACTTCGTGTTTACAAATGTCCTGAGCTAACATTGGAATCCATAAAAAAGATTCTGCAAACTAAGCGAGCAAACCACAGTGTAGGCTCGATGGAATGGTGGAATGAGTCCGCGCTCCTCTCTCTTCTCTTCTCAGGAAGGAACAAGACAAGACAAGACAACATTTTAATTTGACGTCTTATTCCGGGCTAATACATCAACGTTTTCCAAATAATTCAAAATTACAATATATACCCGTTATTAATTACACTATACATAACAGGTTATAATAAATAATAATTACGCACACCCACATATATATACATATTATACATTCGTAATATTGCCAGTTCTCTTCCTTCCTTCTCTTTAATTTCTTATTTTGAGGCATTCAACTCAGAACAAGACCGTTCCCGAGAGAGCGGCAGAAAACGAGCCTAACCACAGTCTTACTACGCGAGCCTAAAGTTAAAGATCTGCGGAAATAACACAGGCATCAACCTAATCAGCCTTTACATAGTGAGTCACCAACAATAGTTTTAAAAATTCAACAAAACTAGACCTATATAAATTGTTCGTCTCCATTGTTATACTTCATTTTCATTAGAATGCGTACTATGCGTTCTCCGACGGTGACTGTGACAATACATCTTTTTTTCTTGAGAATGACCTTCATTGTTATTTCAATTCAGACTTGCAAAGGATGAAGACGCACCTGCCGGCATGCGGTTAGTATGACTCGAGTATCCCGGCGAGTGATCATGGTGAGCCGCTTGTGGGGTCTGTAAGTCAAGGACAAACGTGGCTGATCATGTCTACAGGTAAAAACGACAACTTAACTAGTTAGGGACTCTCAATAATGACAATTCAACTGAAATATCCTGTCGATTCTACTTGACTTTATAAAAAAGCTGAAAGTAGAGGTACAGTGTTGGTTCCTTGCCAGTTCAGTTTTCTTGCACGTACTGAGAAAGATATTGATCAAGGCGCAAATTGATGTAGCTTTTTACTCAGTCCCGATCTTTGTCAATCACAACACAATTATGAAAAGGTAGTAGATTTTATTTTCATAAACAAGAGGTTGATTGAAACACTGAGGTATCCCTGATTATTAAGTATTCAGTATAATTTCTTCATTTACATCGATTGTTGACATAAGAAGTTGAAGTAAGGTAGAAAAATGGTTTTTCTTTTGAAGATGTAACAGCATTCACTTAAGAAATTACCCCATTTGGTAATTGTGGAAATAAACAGAACTGGAAAAATAGAGGTAAAATCCAATTTATGCGCAGTGAGACAGAATTCGACGGACTTTTTAGAACAAAGAAAGCTAAAAATTAAGCAAAATAATAATTAGTTTCTAAATTAGTTCGTTTCCAAATCATATTCGAGTTCACCTGCCGGATGTCCATCTGTTATACAAGAGGCGTTATTTAACCTTTTTCTACAGCAGAGCAATAGTCTCAGTTCTGAGAACCTCGCTGCTTATAAACAATGCAATCGTATGCTTGGCCTCCTTTAGCACCTCATCCTATAAGATCAGGAAAATCGCACACGCTTTCTTTGAAGAAATATCTTAGTACTTACTATAAACTACTTAATTTCAGCACAAATAACTAATATAATATTCAGGCTTCATGCATGCAATCTGTTTCCTGCGTCTTAGGTTCGTTACATCCTCATGAAAACACCTCTTTATTGTTATTTGAATTACAGCATACTCAATAAAATAACGAAAAATTCAGCAATCTTAAAAATATCAGTTTTCGTTCCGAAAAATTTTCCTGTGCAACTGAAAAGCGTGTCTTTGCTACATTAAGAAAAAACAAACAAAAATTAAGGGTCAGCAAAAGGAATGTAAAACATGAATTAACTTCATAACTGCGACACCGTTTTTCAAAATAACGTTGAATTGTACTGGAGAAAAACTGAGTTTTTGTAATCCAATCAGTTCAGTGTTCAGAGTCACCAACAAAGCAAAAGAAGATCGAGCTGGTTTAAAAAAACTTGTGAAATTATTGTCCTGTTAATAGTCTTAGGCTGTGACTTGACTCCTGCAGTTTCAAACTAACAGTTGGAACTCCCCACTATTTCAAAATTGGCTTTGTCCACCCTTGCGTCAAATGGACCCTTTTTCAACAACCTCTAATAAAGACGTACAAGAAAATGCAGTAATATTAAATCATTTTAAAGATCCTTAAACTTTTTTGTCTAATATATTTTGGCTTAAATTTCCTCGGCATCCAATTTCAGCAGGAATTTCAAGTTAATCCAATTTTTGCTACACCGCTGAGACTCGAAGTAATGCTATCGTTACGTTTACGATTGCCATTGATCTTAGAACACTGAATTTCACTTCCATTACGGATTAAGGATGGAAGTTTAAGCAATAAGCACTCAGTATTCAATGACAACCAATTTTAGACCTTTCTAACTCTATAAAGTAATTAAACATCTTGCAGGCCGTGATATTGTCAACGTATTTGCAAGACTGTGTCACAAGTCCACTTTGAATTCAGATTTGGATTCATGTCACACAATGTAGTTAAGAATCAACTAAACCAGTAATGCGGCGAAGAAGCTCCTCGCATTAGGAAATTAGGTGGTTTTCTACTGATATCAAAAAAGTCCCTAACTCACTTTAGAGCAATATCTTTATCTCTTTAATGATAGATAGTGAACTGTCTCGACATACGCAATAAAACAAATAGATTAAATTAACTTAAAGTTTTTTAGCAAAGTAACTAAACCAGTGCACGTTTTATTGTAATTATATAATGTCAGACATGATAGTTTCCTGGATCAACTAGATGCACTTGTCAGATATGTATGATATAAATGATATACCAATGATGCCGTCCATTAGCAAAGGACTGAAAAATGAAAGTAATACCGTCCGGTTAGTTGCAAATCATTTCACAAAAACATGGCAATGTACGGATCCGAATGTATACCACGGTAGTAAGCCCATTACCTCAAACTAAAAAACGTTTTCCAAATTCATCTCACTGTGTCGCATCTCTTCTTAATTCCCCTTGTAATTTGATATCAACTTCTACTTGCCTAATATGACGGGCATGGAATTTTGTAGGTAAGCAAGGGATTCCTTATGTATTTCACAATGCACCTATAAAGTAGCAGAGCCGGCACTGAGGTCTAAACCTACCAAATCAAATTCTTTCAAGGTGGTTCTACATCCCTAGATCGGAAGCTTTTGAAGTTACATTCGCCTTAAACTGTCAGTAAAATTGTCAATAGCAGGTGGTATGATGGATTGAAGTACCACCTTGTATCGGAGAATCTTGCAAAAAGATTGTCTTTGTATTCAATCGTTTATACGATGACAATTAAAAGGGTTCCAATGTTATTAAGAAAACGCAGCACGAACGTTCTACCGGCTCAGCTTTGTTCATGAATTTGTAATGAAACGCATCATTATTTTATGTTGGGTATTTCTCAGTTGAATTTCTGGTAAAACTGACCGTAACATAAGGTGCCACTGTTCTCGAGATTTTGCGACAGCATTAACATATCAACGTCTCCTTAATTGTTTTTATACAAACTGATTGGTTTTCAATTTAATGTTACTCAATACAACTATATCTCAAGCAGGTGCTTCGAGGGCTGCAGTTTACTAGCAAAAATTAAA